TAGGCATGAAGAAACCGCAGAATAAACACCAAAGGCACCATCAGCCGTAAATGATCATCAGGATCCGTCCCCACAAAATAAAGAAGGCCATCTTCAAGGCGATATTGAGAATGTAAATGCCGAAAAGGCAAGTCATCAGCAAGTGATGCAGGATTCTCAAACCCATCTCGAAGCTTGAGCCTCGCGAACCTCATCCAGAGAAGGTAGATCTTGCTCTACGCCCTGTGGACACTGAACGTCAAGGACAGCAACCGCCGACGGCACAGAATCCTCATCTAGAAAATCCACAGATGCTGGAACAACAGGTTCGTCAGAAACATGAGAAGTGAGTGGAGAAGGAAGAGGAGCTCGAGAAAGGGCATCAGCATCAGCCATAGAACTCCCTGGGCGATGAACAACATCGAAATCATATATCTGAAGCTTCAAAGCCCATCGAGCCGTACGACCAACCAGGTTCTTCCGCTTCAATAATGAAGTAACAGCAGCATGGTCACCTTCAAGTAACGTCCGAGAACCATGTAGATATGCATGAAGTTTCTCGAAACCCCAGACTGCTGCTAAACACTCCTTCTCCGTCGTGGAGTAGTTCATCTCCGCTGGTTGTAATGTACGGCTTATGTATGCAATGGGATGGCGTTGACCAGGCACACTCGAGCTCTCTTGCATCAACACACCTCCAAGACCAATGTCAAAAGCATCCACGTGCAAAATAAAAGGTCGAGTGTAGTCAGGATATGCCAAAACCGGAGGAGTCGTCAATAGCTCTTTGAGATTCACGAACGCCCACTCACAATCGGGAGACCAGATGAAAGATGACGTTGATGACTTCAGCAACGCTCACAATGGTATAGTGCGATCGGAAAGATGATCCACAAAACGACCGAGATACTGCACCTTACCCAAAAAGCGCTGCACATCATTCACACACTTCGGAGTAGGGAACTTTAGAACAGCCACAAGTTTGTCAGGATCAACTTGCAAACCCTCACGAAAAATACGGTACCCAAGATAAGTTGTGTCCTTGGACCCAAACACACACTTCGACCGCTTCAGCTTTAAACTAACGTCGCGTAGCCGATCCAACACTTTACAAACATCACGAACATGCTCCTCCCACGTCCCCTCCGAGTGGATCAAGACATCATCAATGAAGTCAGCCGTCACCTCCGGCATATCGCAAAGAACCTCATCCATCATCCGCTGAAAAGTTGCTGGAGCATTGTTCAAACCAAACGGCATCACCAAAAACTCGTACAAATCAAATGGTGTACGAAAAGCAGTCTTAGGAATATCTTCTTCAGCCATCGGTACTTGCCAATACCCAGAAGCAAGATCTAGCTTGGTGAACCAACGACTTCGCCCCAGACGATCCAAGAGATCAGCAGTGTGAGGAAGAGGGTACACGTCCGGGATCGTCACTTCATTTAACGGACGATAGTCGATGCAGAAACGAATACTCCCATCAGGCTTCGTCACAAGATGAGATTCACATGCCCAAGGACTCCGCGACTTCCGAATAACACCCTTCTCCAACATCTCCTTGACGTTTGCACGTAAAATCTTGATCTCCTTGGGTGACCGACGACGAACAGGAACCTTGATTGGACGAGCATCCCCGGTTGGAATGGGATGACGTGTGGCAATCTTGGCCCCAGATGATAGGTCAAATTCAAAGAGATCAGAATACTCCTTCATGAGCTGGTCAACAGCTGCAACACAAAGATCATCGGAGGGATCGGAAAAGGGAAGAGCAGAACAAGATGGAAACACAAGAGGAAATAATGGGGGAACAAAAGTAATGGAAGCAGAGGTAAAAGTAGAGGGACGAAGAGGTACGGAAGTGAGAGGAATGGATGAAACATAAGGAAGTATGAGACAAGGGGGAGAAGCCTCAAAGTCACACTTGGCATGATTGTGCTGCAACTAATCCATACCAAGAATGAGGTCAAAAGCTTGACTCGGCACCACCCGCAACGACTACAACTCAAGCTCGAGATCGCCCACACGCACAACCAGGTCCGCCTCATCTCGTGCACATGCATGTGTACGGCCGTTGCCATAAAGAATGAAAACTGGATCCGCCGCACGACGCAAGTGTAGACGACAACGTGTGGCAACAGGTCGAGCAATAGAAGATAAACTCGAACCTGTATCAACCAACACGGAGAGAAGAATAGGAGACCTCTTGTTATAAAAACGAGCTTGGAAAGTAAACACTGGATGAACCGATGCCGAGTGAACCCCTTGATGATACTCCCGAAAGAAAGATGGAGGGGTCACTAACTTATTCGCGCAAGGTTCCTCCATTACTCGCGCGACTCCTCGTTTCCCGAATGCACCTCGGTATCCAAACCTTCCACCGCAGCAGCACCAACGGGACGTTGCTGACGCCAAGGTCTCCACCCAGGAAATGGAGGTCGCCAATCCGGAAAGCGCCGACAACGCCGATAAGTATGACCAACTTCATCACACACCCAGCAACGAACGTCACGGCCACGACCACGTCCTCGCCCTTGTCCTTGGACTCGAGTAGCAGCAGCATCAACCTCCATGGGAACAGGACCATCACTCATAGGAAGTGGAGCTGAAGGACGTGTAGCAAGAAGTGGAAGAGGCGACGTCTCATAACGTTGTGCCAAGCGAAGAGCATCGTCAAGAGTGGCAGGAGCAAGTGCATGCACAAGTCCGACAAGATCTTGACGAAGTGCTGGCCACAGCATTCCTAGCTTGATCCGCTCCGACATATTTGGCTCCGCACGAAGCAAAAGACTTCGGAAACGAACGCCAAATTGCATCACCGACTCAGATGGCCCTTGGTGAAGACGATGCAATTGTTGGAAGGCATCATCACAATCGTCGGCGTGTCTGAAGGCGCGTTTGAAGACGTCCGGAAGAACACTCCAATCGCCACGAGTAGCTACGCTCAATCCATTGTACCACTGCAATGCCATCCTTTGGAGACATGTGGGGAACTCACGCAAACGTCGAGCATCATCCCAAGAATGATATGTGGCAATCACCGTGAAGTGATCGAACCAATGGTACACATCATCCCCAGGATTCCCACGAAAGAACTCCGGCCGAACGCGAGGATTGGCACCAAAAGCAGGAGGAGTTGTACCATGTGCCGTGAACGCCGCCATCAACTGAGTTTGGTTGTTCAACTGCAAGCGCATAGCATCAAGCAATTGAACCAACTGCTGCTCTAGAGTCAAAGGAGGAGATTGCGGATCGGCCATGAAAATGAATGAAAAAGAAAGAGCAAAAGAAGAAAAATGACAAAAAGCTGGAAAGAAATGGTAGATCTAGACAATGCAAAAAGCTATATCTAAACCAAAATCCTGAAAGGAAAGAACAAAAGAAAGGAAATGGAAAAAACTAGATCTAGACAATGCAAAAGCTAGATCTAAACCGAAATCCCAAATCCAAGCACTCCCCAGGGACAATCAAAGGTGCCCCTCAACTCCACCAATGTGAGTGCATGGAATATGAAAAGGGAATACAGAAATGTGCATATCAATTAGCCCAAAAACCCTAGCTTATATACAAGAGCGAGTGGTCCGGATTGAAACCAATCCGACGGCTACCAAAATCCACTACGCTAATATTAGTATATGGCATTGTAGCCGTACACTTGGCCCTCACACATATATATACCTATTATAATGTAAAACCTACTATTTCACATATATTTTATGATTAATAAAACTAAAGGCACAAATAAGTTAGAAACTTAAATTAGCAATAACTTTGTTATTTATCTAAGAATTTTCAATTTACCAGGATGGGGTCCACCTGTAAAACCCTAAAATGCTTTTAATATACAAAAGAATATTCTAAGATAGTATATTCTGTCAGCAACAAGAACAAGAAAAAAAAAAGAAAAAGGCGGCCGGTGTGGAAGTGATGATGGCGGCGGCGCGCAACGCGGATCAGGATTGATTGGGTCCATCATTTGGTCCGCGCAAATCACAATCCTTGCCTGCTGTGCCACCCGCCCAATTGGAATCCATGGGATCTTTCCGAGGCCATGCAGTCCCAGGCACGCTCTTCCTGGTCGTGGGCATCTGGCACACCCTCAATTCCCTCCTCAAGTACGTTTCCAACCCAAAGGGCTTCCAGGGCCGCGTCTGGCACGCCCTCCCCAGGGTCACAGGCTCCCTCCGCTTCCTCGAGCTCTACATCATCACCCTCGGCGCCCTCCTCGACCTCTGCATCGAGTTCTTCTACTCCCCCCACTTCCAGTACTTCGTCGATGGAGCCCTCAACGCCAAGCACCTCAACAATTTCGAGCACTCGGCAATGCTCCTCATGTTCTTCGTGCTCGGCGCCGTCGCGCTCTTCACCGAAGCTGCCGGGTACGTATCTCCCTCTTTTTTCCCTGCTCGACACGATTCATCCAATCAGCAGCTAGTCAAAAAGAGAAAAAGCTGTATCGAGAAAGACGAGTTCACTTACCTCGAAAGCCTTTTGCTTGCGCAGGGTGCTCCATCTTCCACTGGGAGCTCTCAACATCATCGCCGGCATGGCCTTCACCGCCGAGTTCCTGCTCTTCTACTTCCACTCCACCACGCACGCCGGCCTGGAAGGACGATACCATGAGCTCCTCGTCTACCTCATCGGCCTCTGCATACTCTTCTCGTGCCTCGGGGCAGCCTTCCCTCAGAGCTTCATCGTCGACTTAGCCAGCGGCATCTCCATCACTCTCCAGGGACTCTGGTTCTACGTCGTCGCCATGGCACTCTATGGATCCTGGGTACCACTGGGCTGCAAAGGCTCCGAAACTGGTATCAAGTGTGATGCCCCCGCGTATGAGACCCGCGGCCAGTCACTTGCAAACTCCCAGTTCAACTTCCTCATCGTCTCGGTTCTCGGTGCTGTCACCGTGCTATATGCTGTCGCTGCTCACTTCAAAGGCCACCCGGATGTGTTCTATGTTGACGACTTCGATGCCAAGGCTGCTGCCGCTTCTACATAGAGAGATAGAACCCGATAATGCGTCGCCGAAAAAAGTTTTGTTGATTAGAAGTAGTTCCTGTCTTGTAGTATCTCAGACCCACACGGTCTCCAAAAAAACTCCGTCAAAATGTAGTCTCGACAAATCCCCTTACCTCCTAAAGCTTTCGGTAGAAGAGAACATACGCCTGCTTGTTCAAGACCATGTCCACGCTCACCTTGTCAACCATTCGGTCGTCGAATCGGAGCCACGAATCGCCGTACTTCGCATCGGCTGTGTAGTGCCCGCTTGTCACGTCTTTGCCGTGGTGCATTATGCTTGCTATCAACTCGTACCTCGAAGTGGCCTGCATTGCGTAAAACAAATGTAATGTAAGGTAACATAAAAGTGCATCTTGACAACTAGTATAACCTCGTTGCCTGGAGACAAGAGCTCTTTGCCGACTGTCAGCTGCTCGGAGAAATCGATAGCTCTGGAAACCTTACGCGTTCCACTGTTCCCATAGCCAAAGCGCAGCAGCTGCAGAATGAGTACCTTCGGCAGCGATACCACCTTGGTGCCTCTGCTAGAGTCCTGGAATGCAAAATATAAAAGGAGTCGGTACCTTCCCATACCTTCCCTGGTGAGAACTTGACAAACCTTCAAAGCGTCCTCCACGGAATGAACTGTTCCTGAACTGATATCCAGAGTCAACACGTAGAACGGTTCGACCTGTATACTGGCCTTGCTACCTGCCTAAAAGCTATCAGCGATCTTAACTTAGATTATATGCAACGAACCTTTTGGCTTGACATTGTTGTACAACTGTCCACAAAAAATGTCGGTGAGAGGCGACCAAATGCGACTGCATGTCCGGACTCGAGCAGTTCGATTTTTCGGACCCACTGTCTCCCACTCGTCGTCAACAGCAACACCCGCCTCGGAAACGGTTCGACCATCCAGTTTAAGAAGCTCCTCGTGTATTTGATTCAACAGGAAGCAGAGGAACTCTGGCGCATCCTCCTGTCTACAATACGGACGTCAATTCTGCTAAGCCAAGCAATTGCTGAAAACCAACCTCCTTGGCTCGTTTGGACGGAACGCTGCCAGGCACGGATCGAACATTGACGGTACCAACGCTACTCCGGTTTGAACATCCTTGTTTGCAGATTCTCCTTTTCGGTAGTACGAGTCGGATCTAGTCTCTGATGAAGGGCCCTTCTCGAACTCGCTGATCAAACTGACAAAGCCATGCAGAGCCGGAAAACTTTCCTGAAACGTAAAACATCATATCACGAGCTAAAAGGAAGGTGAATTAACTGACCGGAGAAGGTGTTTTCCCTTTTAGCGTCAGCACCAACTGCAAGAAAGGTGGACAGGACAACAGCGCCTGGAGCGTCGAATTCAGGTAGCAAGAGTTGCCGGTGTTCACGAGCCCCCGTGGCGTGATAGCTGCTGGTTGCACCAGCGACGCCCATGACTTTGCGACTGTCTTCGAGGCGCCAGGATCACGCTCGCGTTGTCTCTCGGGGTTCAGGGACGTACGCTCCAACTGGCTGGCGACGTTCCTGATAGGAGTTACTGCGATAACCTTCGGCGATTGCGGCTGTGGTGGTGGCGCAATATGCTTTACACCGTTGGAAGGCTTTGTTGGCCCCGCGTTCGTCTTTGTTGTGTCCACCGGTGCCTTCTTCTCAGGAGTTACGTTCTTAACCACTGGCTTCGAAGCGGACTTGGACTCTTGAAACGACAGCGCCTCATCTTCACTGAAAGATCCAAACAAGATCACCTGAAACGATAAAAGAAGACTGTCAAGCAAGAAAAACTCGCGATAAGAAGATTTCCGGGCATGAAGACTGGATAAAGCATTCACGGGAATTCATCCAAGACAGAGAAAGTAAATGAATTTTGAGAGAAGATCCGAGAAATATTTACCAGGCCACCAAGCTAATGGATTTCGAGACAAGAGAGAAGTATCTACAGCACAGACTCGTCAATCATCCAGGCCCACGAACGAAAGAAGCGATCAAACAAGCACGGAAACCTCTCGATGCAACGAAATTTCGATCGGAATCGAGAATGCGGCATTGGACACCATCGCAATCCATCGGGAAAGAGCGCACCTTATCCATCATGTCTTGCGCGGCGCCATGAAAACTCCAGAATCCGCGAGCCGATGCCGACCTAGAATCCCCGGAGCGAGAGCGCGCTTGAGCTGTAAGGACGCTATCCGGCAGCAGCAAAGAGACGCCGGCTTCCGCCCTAGAAAACGAGCACACACAATGTATGACTGCCAAGGGTTTAGGTTTTCTCACCTCGAATAAAAGGATTAAAAACTCGCCCTGGAATATACGGGGAAACAAGGAATATTCACTGCTGTGGCTTTTAGGGCTTGGTTTAAAATCGTGCTAACTACTTCTAGTCCATGTGAGTTTACCACCAGAGCATTCGGTGACTGGGAATGAAAGAAAGAATCTTTTCCCACGACGTGAGGGGCGTGAAAGACGGCCGTGCGCGGCCCAAAGCGTTTGAGGCCCACCGACGTCGGCCATGTACGGCCCCGGCATTCCACGAGGGGGAATGCCCTAACGGTCGGCGGAGGCGCGTTCGATCGTGTCTACGTGTACACTCCGGATGCCGTTGGAGCAGCCAGGTGGACGTTACGACGCGGAAGATGCGCCAAGAAGGAACTTCCCCCACGTTACCATCAATGGGATGTTCTCCTTGATCATCGTTTTAGGGCGCTCGATCATTCCAAAACGAAGCGATCTAGCTGCCAAATTTTTGTCCCAGCTTTGTCATCGCAGAAAAATCAATCGCTATCGCCCGGATCTTTCAAAGAATGCGTGCCAAACTAAAAGTCCAGCTTCACGGACATCCAATTCTCGTCTTGTTCATTGGTGGGTCTGCTCTCCTTCTTTTGACACATATATGAGCTGATCCATCAATCCATCTAATCGCAAATGGGCGCACTGGGAAACCCGGGCAGCAATGCCGATATCACGCAAAGCTTGCTGTGGGATCACAAATCCAGCGCGAATTCCAATTCCAATCCCATTTCCAGCGCTGCCAAGACCCGGATCGTCAAGGGATTGAAGCTCACGGCGGGTCTCACGCTCCTTCAATTCATCTTCGCAATGTATGCTACATTTCTTCTCTATTTCATGAGCCCCAATGTGGATGTCAGTCACACGCCATGGACGTCTAGAATCGCCATCGCGCAGCAGTGGAAGCACATTCTTTGGCCGACAGGTAGCCATTCACAGGGGATTTTCAAGAACCCTAATTCTCCGCTATCAAAACAGGGCACCTGCCAGATCGAGGACCTTGCCTTCCCCCAGAAGAAATCTAACAACACACGCATGATCCAGCTCAAGACGGAGCTTTTCCAGGAGATCACGGCCTTTCAGCAGCGAAATTCCGGCAGCGAGACGCTCCAGGAGCTGCTGGATCTTCCATCATCGAGCTCCAATTCCACCAGGATCACCGTCGTGCTCAATCACTTCAAGCGAAGAACACTCTGCGCCCAGCTGGACGCTCTCCTCGATCAATCCCTGCCCCCTCAATCCATCTGGGTGCTCGCATTCGCCAGCCCCAATCACGACGCCCTCAGCCGGATCGTCGACGCCTACAACGATTCGCGCATCCAATTCATCTCCTCCACCTTCGATTTCAAGTACTATGGCCGATTCCAGGTCGCGCTCCAGGCCGATTCGTGCGATTTCGTCTACTTCCTCGACGACGACATGATCCCGGGCAGGAGAATGCTGGAAATCCTCTCGCACGTCGCGGGGACTGAGAAGTACCGCAACTCAGTTCTTGGAAGCATTGGCCGGATCCTCCCATTCCGCCAGAAGGATTTCTCCTTCCCAAGCTATCGCAAATTCGGATCAAAGGAAGCTGGGATCTATCTCCCGGATCCAGCGTACGGCATTGTGATCGAGAGGATCGTTCAAGTAGATTTCCTCTCAAGCTCGTGGTTCCTGTCCGCCGAGAATGTCAAAGCTCTCTTCATCGAGACGCCATTCACATTCGCAACAGGGGAAGATCTCCATCTCAGGTGCGAATCTTTTAGAATCTTTTCGAATTTTTAAACTTTCTTTTACGCGCTCTTTTTAATGTTCCAGCTATCAGATGCAAAAGTATAGGGACGCCGGCTCATACGTGCTCCCAGTTGATCCGACGGACTCGGCGACGTGGGGGGACAAGGAACACCGTCTGGCATACGTATCCGAGACGACTGTCATACACAAGGATATCGTCGAAATACGGGACGATCAATGGTGGCGGGCGCTCTCTCGTGGCTACGTGACGCAATGGGCGAGGATGAATCCACAGCAGAGTGACGTCATCTTTTACGCGCACAAGCTGGACCAGGTCGCTGACTTGGCACCACTCATCGCGCGGTTTCGTGCCACGCTAGGGAAGAAGGCCTACGTGGCGGTCGCCGGTGGCGTGCACTGCCCGTGCGAGGAGGCCGCGTCACTGCTGGGCTTGCCCGCGCAAGCATGCCATGAACGCCGGTTTAAGATCTTTGACCTGGAAATGGGCAGCATCGCCGCCACGTGGAAAGCGGACGAGGGGGACCGTGGATTCTCGGGGCAGTTCCAGGAGATTTACGGCGCGATGAGAGGCCTGGTGAGGATACATTCCCCGGCAATAATCGTGACCGTCGCTGATTTGGAGCGTGGTGTGAGGGACGCCGTTGATCTTGCAGCGAAACGGGGCAATGCAACACTCGTGGAGCTGCCCAGACCGTCGATCCAGCATGCGTTGTGGATGGCCGATCTAAAACCCATTTCTCTCCAGCGTAAGTAATGATCCACTGGATTTTGATCGATTTGTCAATCTTTGCTATGATTTTCCAGAATGGAACAAGATGACCATCGTGGTAAATATCATCACCCAGAACCGTGTTGGATCGCTCAATCGATTGCTCCAATCCCTCGCGTCGGCCCACTACTTGGGAGATAAAATCCACATCACATTCAACATGGATAGCAAAGTGGATGCTCCAACGCTAGAGCTCGTCCATGCATTCCAATGGCCACACGGGAGAAAAATCGTACGCCGTCGGATCATCCCAGGTGGCCTCATCAGAGCCGTGAGTGAGAGCTGGTATCCCGCCCACGACCACGAATACGGCCTCTTGCTCGAGGACGACATCGAGGTCTCTCCGTTCTACTACATGTGGCTCAAGTACGCACTACTTACGTACGTATATTCTACGACCGGGCCTACGGTTCCAATACCAGAGCTGGGTTCCATTGCTCTCTACACGCCAAGGCTGGTGGAAGTGGTCAAGGAGAGGCCAAAATGGAACGCTACGGACTACTTCAAGGCACTCCACCCGAATACGCCGTATCTACACCAGCTCCCGTGTTCCTGGGGCGCGCTCTTCTTCCCAAAACACTGGAGGGAGTTCTACAAGTACATGGGCAGCCGCTATACGGAAGATGCCAAGGCGAATCCCGTACAGATTCCAAGATCCCGGACCAACGGCTGGCAAGCGTCATGGAAGAAGTTCCTCATTGATCTCATGTACCTCCGTGGCTACGTGAGCTTGTACCCAAACTTCCCCAACCAGACGAGCTTCTCGACCAATCACATGGAGCCAGGTGCCCACATTGCGGCCGTTGATAACTCGCTAAGCCACAAGAGGGAGGACTTCACTGTGCCGTTGATGGAGGAGGACTTTTGGAAGATTCTTCCGGCACAGAGGATGCCACCACCTTCAAAGCTGCCGGTGATCAACCTCTTTAACCAGGCAGTGAGCATCAAGGGACTCAAGGCGGCTGGAGCAAAGCTGGGGCAGGATGTATTGCCTTGCAATGCGACCCAGATTGTTTTGGTGGATCACATAACTGGCGATCCTACTAATTGTGCTAGATTTTAAGAGCTATTTGTTTATTCGCTCGTCAAAAAGGGTACGCGTGTAGAAAACACAAGAAAAGACTGATATTTACCATATTCGGTCTAAAGAATGGAGCGGAGGTGACTTTCGGAGGGAGCCGCGGTTTGGGCCACAGATTCATGTTCAGGGCGGATGGACAAGAAGCTGTCTTTCAATGCTGCAGAGAATTGCAAGTGGAGAATAAGAATATCCATGTTATTGTATCATGCTATTAATCTGGGCTTTGTTTCGCAGTACAAAACAACCACAAGACATATTGATCCATCCTTCAAGACACTAGACTCTAACCATTAAGAAAGCTGTTGGTGAAGATGTTGTTCAAACGACAAAGGCAACTTGTTGGTTAGATTGAAGTCTTAGGGAAAAGGCAAAAGTTTATCTCAGGAATAGCTTGCAACATTGGCTTCGAACTTCAGTAGAATCCTTGTCTGTTCTGAGAGCGGCCTGTAAGTTAACAAGAGATAATGTCAATTCGTCTTTACTTTCGGATTTTCCTACACACCTTTTACGTTGAAATTGAAATCAAACCAATTCGCCCAGCAAGTCATTCAACGGACGACACAGCCGATGAGCCTGAAGCTCGATTCAACAGTCTCCAATCGGTATCCCGTCCCAAGTCGAATCTCGCAGCTTAGTCCCGTGGCTGGCAGCCTCCGAGGATGGCGGCCATCAATGCCTGTCTGCACGTCACAAGCCTCAGCAGTAAAGCGAAGCATCCCATACACCTCGTTGTAGTTGGAGTCGGACCAGAGCACTGCAACAGGCAGGAAAAAGATTGTTCTCCGCCGCATGTCAGTCAGGTAGAGGTGCATCTCGTCTCCGTTTCCACAGACTTGGGCGTGCAGGTTCTGTGGAATGAGTTGCTGAAGGTAAGCAACGAGGTGAGGAATGTCATCTGGGCCTTCCACGGCAACCAGGTTTTCGCCCTGGCCGTCAGGGTGGCGGAACGCGGGATCGAAATGCACTCGCCAGGTAGAAACTGCGGCATCCGGTAGAAATTTTAGAATGGAATTGCCCAGGCGGGGTAAATTACATACCCGGCATCGCAATCCCCCCTTGAGCTCCATTTCCTCCGGTGCTGGGATCAGACAGCAAAAAGTCCTTTCAAGTGAATTTGTTAAAGGTGGCAACCTTCGGTGGTCTGCTCCTCAACAGGCTCAGCAGCTGCAAGGATACAGTGAGTCATACTTTATTTTTCGTCCTGGACGCCATTACCTGATATGTCTTGGTCAGCTATGCGTTCGTCGGGGCGATCGCCACCAGAATCACGCCCTGACAGAGAACATATGTTAGCATCACTAGCTAGTAGGCGCATCCAACTTGAACTAATCTAAAACCGACCTTGCTCGTCATCGTCCCTGGTTTCAAGCTCATCTTCCGGACCTCCATTCTCTACAGAAAGCCATGTTAAAGACACCCCTGCTGCCAAATCTGCGAAACAAGAGCTAAATACCTGGCGCCTGGATTCTTGCCTCACTCTCGTTCTGGAGATCACCAGCGGAATCTTTCCCTGACAAGGAAGCGGTAGAATTCGAAGGAGTCGAGCCTGGCACTGAGAAGAAAGAAAGAGAAGAAAATTCACATGAACGATCAGAGACATGCACGACTTACCAGGCACTGAAACCACATCGGCGTCGCTGGCGCTAGAACTAGGCGGCAGATCCAGTCCAGAGCACAGATTTGCAAGAATGGCTGCGACTTCTCGCGCAGCAGGGAGGCACAGGCTGTCGAGAATCGATGCGCTACTCCCACTGCCGATCAAGAACACAGCTAAAACGAGAAAAACCAATGCGCGCTTCTCCGTCGCCATAGCCTCTCGCCTCTCGCCTCTCCAAAGAACGCTCCTTTCTCACCCCTTACGTCCGAAAAATTACTCCGGTTAAAACCAGGTAACTCACCGCCCCTGCCACTATTACTCCAGGTAAGTCACAGCCCCGACACAGTCACTGCTCGGTTAAAACCATATTCATAAATTACCAGTTAAGAGTCTTACTGCGAATGTTTTTCTTAGTATTGATCATGAGAATATACTGATACTCTGCAAAGGCATATATAAGAATATACTAGATATTCTTTAGTGAAGCGCTCTATGTTCTTCCACGCTCCAAGCTCTTTTATGCTCCTTGTTCCTCCAAATTCCAATCTCTATGTTCTCTATATCTTTGACCAACAACAAAAAAAAAATTAGTCAAATAAAATTTGTTCTTATACAGTTAATCTATGAGAGAATATTTTTATTGCAGGAATTGTGGCATGCACGACTTACAACCAGCAGTTAAAAAACTCGAAGCGGCTAAAGCTTGGGAATTTTACAAACTACTGATCAAGAAGACATAGCTAAAATGAGATCCCGTTTCTATCACATCTCCTACTCTAAAGTCCCATGCTCTCACAAGTTAACAGTGATTAAACATAGTTATCTATCTATCTAGTCACCTTCCAAATTCTAATCAAACCAAATTCCTTATAAAACAAGTTCACAGCAATTTGGTACACATTATAGATTGTACTATAATTTGATTCTTGCAAACTATAGAAACAAACTATCGATTGCAAACCTTTAAGATCTAAGCATTGCAATTCTTCTAACGGATCCTTGTGGCTTCAACGGCCCGGATCCCGGCCCGCTTTTAAATTCACGCAACGGTCAAATTGGGCCCACGAAGGCGTGCGCGTCGCTTGGTATTGCACGGACGCCACTGGGTATTCCAATCCCGTTGAATCCCCACAACGCATTTGCTTTTGGTGGAAAGCACAAAAGCGAGAAGTTCTTTTCTCTTCCAGAGTCCTCTCCATTAGCATTTTAGGTCTGGTTCTAGCGAGAGGGTAAGGCGCCAATCTCACCTCTCCTCTTCCCTCCTCGGCGGCGCTCTGTGATCATGAATATGAACGGCGGCGTGGATGCGATCGCGCAGCAGCAAGCCACCAACAATCCGGCCAGCAGCAAGCAGAGCAAGCCGAATTTGCAGCCCGTGGACAGCCATTCCGTGACCAGGAGGTGCGTGTTCTTGCTCTCTAGGGTTCCTTTCCCCTCTCGCTAGGGTTTGACGCGAGCTGAGCTTCCTTCTCCTTCCAGGTTGCAATCGGAGCTCATGGCTTTGATGGTAAGAGCTTCGTTTTTCTTCTCGACGTTTCCGTTGGTCTCAGTGGTGTGTTCTTCGTTTAATCCTTCCTTCTTTGCTATAGACTTGCGGGGATCCGGGAATTTCAGCGTTTCCAGACGGTGACAACATCTTTACATGGATTGGAACCATCAAAGGAGGCGAGGCGACTGTCTATGAAGGTCTCTCTTTCAAGCTCTCGCTGCGCTTTCCCACGGATTATCCATTCAAGCCACCGCTGGTCAAGTTTGAGACGTCGTGTTTCCATCCCAACGTCGATCAGCACGGCAACATTTGCCTCGACATCTTGCAGGTACGCGCCAGTGAAGTTTTGCTGGGATTGAGATGATGTTCTTCTCACACAAATCTCTCTATGCTGTGGCTGGCTGGCGCAGGATAAATGGTCCTCGGCTTACGATGTTAGAACCGTTCTGCTATCGATCCAAAGCTTGCTTGGAGGTAATGCGATCTTTTCTCGAATCGTTTTGATCATCTCTCGCTTCTACAGAGCCAAACAACAACAGTCCTCTCAACAGCTATGCGGCAACGTTGTGGCCAAACCAGGAAGGTAAGTTTTCCACGAATTCCATAGCCAAGAACTTGTAACGATCCTTCGTTTTCTCGCAGAGTACAAGAAAGTGATGATCAAGCAGAGCCGCGAAGGATCCGGGCGATGAAGAAGAAGTTGCGAAAAGGAGAACACTCGCGGGAGGAGCCGTGAAGTTTTTTCTTCTTTGCCGGACGAAGCTCTTTGGCGGAGGAAAAAAAAATCGAGTTGGCTCTACATGGCTCGAGCTATGGAGCATGAGAGCTAGAGCGAGCGCGAGAGAGAGAGAGAAGCGATGTTTTCTTCTTGGCTCTAAAATTTCCATCAAGCATTTCCATTCCAATCACGGGAGTGGCAGCGGCGAGAGATCTTTCCAAGGATCAAGGAGCATCCACTTTCGAAAATACTGCCGCGCATCGATGGTCGCCCCTTGTGAATCTTGCGCATTGTGATAGTGGCCGCGCCCACGCCCGCGCCCTTCTCGCCCCCATTGCCTTCGTCCTCCTCCTCTAGCACCACTGTAGAACCTCGATGGCGATGGCGACGGCGATGGAGCCGCCGGGTGCGATTCCTCTTCTTCCGTTCTATCAGATTCTTCTTCTTCGCAGGCCTTCCTCTTTGTGGCGCTGGAGCTGGGATCGCTTGCCTGATTCGACTCTTGCGCAGCGGCGGCCTGCCGGATTGCGAGAAGGCGCTGCCGCCGCGATTCCACTGGTTCTACCTCCATTGTCAAGAACCCTAATATTTCAAGTGGTATAAACCCTAGCTATAGAATCGATGAAAACGGCGCGGGAGGAAGACGATGACGCTGGCCAGGACGAGAATGCCTATAGCAGGGCCTTCAGCAAGATCATCAAATCGTCCTACAGCGACTCGCCTGGAAGCGCAGTGGTACGTTTGCTCTCTTGCCGCTCCCTCGGCCTCCTCTGATCGATTCGATCGATCGATTTCTCGCTGTCCTAGGGTCCAGTGTTAGCTGCTCGGAGGACGCTCGTCGCCAAGAAATTGGCGGCGCAGGAGGATGGGGCGGTGGCGGCGAAGAAGAAGAAGCCAAGCAAGCAAGAACAAGAGGTATGAAATATTAGTTTCTATGCTTATGGAAGAAGGAAAACTTACGACTCTAGTAGCGGCATTTGCTTCCAGAATCGTTTGTGAATGCCAAGGAGATGGCACTGATCAAACTGGCCACCAGAGGAGGTACGAGGATTCTCTAGTTGAATAGAATTCCTTGCGTTTCTTCTCACGAGCTTTTGTCCAAAACAGTGGTAACTCTTTTCAATGCGGTGACCAAGGCACAGAAGCTCCAGGCCGACTCCGAGTCTCTCAAGTCCCGGGATGCCAAGACTGTGATCAAGCAAAGCAAAGCAGCGTTCCTCTCAGAGATAAACAACGCGAGATCTCAACCGGAGGTAACGAAAAACTCGAGGTTTTCGTCGTGTGATTTTGGGTTGCTTTGTGACAGGATACTGAATCTAGATGGCCAGTTTTGCAAAACGATTTTGTGCTCGGGAAGTCCAAACTCAAGAACTGGGACAAAGACAAGGTAGAGACTGCGAGATTTCGAGAATTCTCCTGTAAAAACTTAGCGTTTCCTTTGCCTTGCAGCCTGGTACCAGTGACGATGACAACGACGACGATGATAATGGGACCGATGACGAGATGTAATCGAAAACTTGTTCTTCGAGCGGTATTGGAATCCAATCTTCTTCTTTTTTCTGCGAACTACCAAGCTTAAATATTGGTGGAAGGGTTTAGGGTTTATAGGATGAAGTACGTGGTGGTAACCGGCGGCGTTGTGAGTGGCCTGGGCAAAGGCATCACCGCCAGCAGCATTGGAGTCCTCCTCCAAGCTTGCGGCTTGCGTGTTACTGCCATCAAAATTGGTATGCTCGTTTTTTTTTGTAACACCCATCCATCGCTCGCAGATCCATACCTTAATGTGGACGCTGGAACAATGTCGCCCTTTGAGCACGGAGAAGTGTTCGTGCTTAACGATGGTGGCGAGGTCGACTTGGATCTCGGGAACTACGAGCGCTTCCTGGACATCACTTTGACGAGAGATAACAACATCACTACAGGCAAGATCTATCAGGTATGTGACTTATCGATCGATCCAAGTCCTGTGAATACTGAAGGTTTGCTTGTGGATGCTGTGATCATAGTCTGTTTTTGATAGGGAAAGGAGGGGTGACTACCTGGGAAAGACTGTTCAAGTGAGCATGGTTTTGGTTTTTCTGTCGTTCGAAAGACTTGTTTCGTTTGTGTGTTTTGGTATAGGCCATTCCTCACGTCACCAATGAGATACACGATTGGATCCAACGCGCTTCCAAAGTTTCTGTCGACGGGAAGGAGGGTGAAGCGGATGTGTGTTTGATCGAGCTTGGAGGCACTGTTTGTGAGTGTTTTTCTTTGTTGTTTCTTCTTGCTTGTTGATTTGATAATATTGTCCAGGTGACATGGAGTCAGAAGCTTTCTTTCGAGCTCTGAGCGACTTTGAGTTCCGTCTGGGACGAGAGAACTTTTGCCTCGTTCATGTCAGCCTTGTTCCTGTTCTTGGAGTCGTGGGCGAACAGGTAACAAAGCTGTCGAATTTACAGCTCTTCTCAGCATTCTTTGCAATGTGTTTTCAGAAGACGAAGCCCACACAGCACAGCGTCCAAGCGCTTCGAGCCTTGGGATTAACACCCACACTACTTGCTTGCAGGAGTGCCAAAGTTAAGCCCGTGCTACCATTTGATTCATCTTACGAGTTTTTTTTTTTCCTCTCTCTCCAATTTCTTGCGCAGCCATTGGAAAAGAGTACTAGGGAGAAACTTGCGCTCTTTTGTCATGTCCCGGTACGTTTCTTTCATCTTGGTCTTGTTTTCTATTTATATTTTTTTCTAAGTAACAAAGATGCATAGACAGGCTCATCACATCTTCGGCATCCACGACGTCTCCAACATTTGGCATGTCCCGCTTTTGCTCCGAGTAGGATAACTTAAAGTTCTTCAATCTTTTTCTGACTCTTTCCACCACTCCAGGATCAAAATGTTCATCTTGCTATACTAGAAAGACTAAACCTCAGGTCTGATTTCTTACATATTCTCACTTAAATATAATGTTTAACTTTGTTGGTTTTTCACAGCACCGCACGACAGCCAGAACTATCACAATGGGAGCAAAGAGCCCAGCGACTCGATACACTTTCTTCTGTAAGACTTTTTGGAGCTCACCAGCGCAAGCTTACTAGTTTTTCACGCATAGGGAATAAGAATTGGAATGGTTGGGAAGTACACAGGCTTGGCTGATTCCTACCTCTCCGTGATCAAGGTCTGTTCACCTTTTGCTTTACTTTTGCCGCATGCGGTCTTTTTTCATTTCGCTTTCAGGCGCTCCAACACGCAGCATTCTCGTGCGAGAAAAAGCTGGAGATTGAATGGGTGGCATCGTCAGACCTGGAAGACGATGCCCCGCAAAGTCTACGCACTGCCGCATGGACCAAGCTAAAGGCACGGAACTCATTTTTTTGTTCTAGCTTTCAAGCTTATGGTTAATTGATTTTCCAGAATGTCGATGGCGTTTTAGTTCCTGGAGGATTTGGAGACCGAGGAATACAAGGGAAGCTCTTGGCTGCGAAGTATGCTCGTGAAAACAACGTCCCTTACTTGGGAATCTGCCTGGGCATGCAAATCGCCGTGATCGAATTTGCGCGCTCAGTTAAGTCGATCAATCATCTAGTGAAAAGTTCTAAAAACCTTTCTTCTTGGTTCGATTTTTAGGTGCTTGGATTGGACGGAGCACACAGCACTGAGTTTGATCCGGCTACACCACATCCTTGTGTCGTGTACATGCCTGAGGTATCTATCTCTTTTTGAATGTGTGTGTGTGATCTTGTTCGTTCACATAGATATCAAAAACACATAAAGGTGGGACAATGAGGTTGGGTGCGAGGAGAACGCTCTTCCAGACGACAAACTGCATCACTGCCAAACTGTAAGCTTTTGTTTTTGGATCGATTGGCAAGATTGTTTTCTAACAGAAGCTCTTTTCTTTTGTTTTGTTTTTCGTGCTTTAGTTATGGGAATGCAATGTTTGTGGATGAACGCCATCGCCATCGGTACGAGGTATGTCAGAACGCACTTTTCATTTACAGTATGAACATGCTACTTGTCCTGCGCTGGAACTCATCAGCCAAAAACAAAGAGTTTTTGATCGAGTGTCACTCGCTGCTTGTCATGTTCAATTACAGTCCAGTGCCACGCTTCTTGTCGTAACAGTAGAGTCGAGAAAACTAAGCTTCGAGTGTCATGCTTTTTGTCATATACTTCGATCTGGAATCTAGACAGACAATAGCTTTTTAAGTATACTGTTTTCAAGCCTTGTTTTCTGCGCAGGTAAATCCGGAGATGGTGAGCTCGCTCGAGAATGCGGGGCTTTGTTTCGTGGGAAGAGATGAAACTGGAAGACGCATGGAGGTAAGAACTCTCTCTTTGATCTTTCTTATTGCAGACAATAATCTTGCTAACGAAATTTTCTAAGATCGTGGAACTGGCATCGCACAAATTCTATGTTGGCGTGCAATTCCATCCCGAGTTTAAGTCTCGCCCCGGAAAGCCATCACCGGTTTTTCTTGGTAGCTCGAAAAACTTTCCTTCCCTGTCTACATTCCCAGTTGGTCTGATCCACGCTTGGTTGCAGGGTTGATTGCTTCGGCATCGTCAAAGTAGCTTCTCCGACCAAAGCATCGCAAAAAACTTTGGTCAAAGAAAGTCAAACGAGCATTGACCAAGAGCATATCCTTTTAGGGCTAATCGATCACCTTCGTCTTCGTCCCAAAGCACGACGAGGTGCTCATTTCGACGCTGGGAAGAATCGCGCAGCTCCAATCCGTGCTGGTGCTCGTGGCGTCCCTGGATTTGCTGCTGCCATTGCCGCTACTCGTGGAGAAATCCTCCTCGGAGCCATGGGAATGCCTCTTCCTCTTCCTCCTCCGGTTGGTGATGGCGATGGCGAGATCATTGGGGAAGAGGGTCTTCCACACCAGCCAGTGGCACATCGTCGCCACGAAGAGCAGCGCCACAGTGGCGCTAGAGACGGAGGAGAGGATCGTCGCCAGCGCTTGCGTGACGGGCGTGGAAACCTCCTGGCAGTAGTGAATGCTGGCGATGGAGATGGCGGTCATGGGAAACGTGTACGCCCACCAGGCGAGCGAGAATCGAAAGCCCCGGAAGAAATTGATCCTCACGATCTGGAAGAAAGAGAGATTCCAATCCATCGTTAGTACCGTTGGAAAGAGACCACGCAGCAAATTTTAGGGTTCTTACCAGTGATGAGAAGAGGAAGAGGGCGATGAAGAAGGCGATCCGAGAGACAATGCCAAAGTCTCCGGTGATCTTCTCCCACGCGAGGCTGGCAGCGCTGGGCGCGGCGATAAAGAGGAAGAATACCGGGTGGAGCTCCTTGGGCAGCGCCTCGTTGGTGGGCAGTCGCTGGTAGAGCGTGACGAAGAGCACCAGATAGTGCGCGAGCCCGATCGCCCAGAAGAAGATCCCGCCATCGATCCATCCCACGGTCGCTCCCAGCAGCGCGCCCACGAAATTGCCCACCACGGAGAGGTGCGTGCACGGATTCGCGACCTTGGACAGCCTGCGCTGGCCGCCCGAGAGCCACTGCCCGTAGATCTTGAGCTCTAGCGCGAGGATTGGCGCCATGAGGCAGCACCAGATCCAGGGATGTAGCGTCACTCCCGCCGATGGAGGGATGCCCAGTGCCAAGAACATCGCGGCGATCCATGGCGCGAAGAAGAAGTTTGCGCGCACAGGATGGTAGTACTCGCGCCTCACCGCCTCGAGGTAGAAGATCGCCTTGAAGAGATAGGTGGTGAAGATCCCGGCGAGCGCGATCGCGGCCAGGAACCACAGCACCGTGTTGATGATCTCCGGGGCGTGGAGGAATCGCATCGCTGGGACCGTGGAGAGGTTCTTCCAGAGAATGGATTGGCTGCCAAGCCCCAGCGCCACTCCAAACGATGAGATTGGGAAGCGCAGGAGGAATGGCCATCGCTGGTCGAGAGGGAGGAGCGCCTCCTCGGATTCCTTGAGCTGCTCGAGCTCCGGGCCTTGGAGAGCATCGAAGTATCGCCCGGCGGGAACTTGGGCGGAGTGATCTTCGTGGTGGATCGGTTTGCTGGATTGCTGCTGCTGCTCTGGATGATCGCCTGGATCGAGCTGGTGGTGTTGCTGCTGCTGCTGCTGGATCTCCTCCTCGCGGAGGCGTGATAGCTGCTTCTCGATCTTGGAGGATCGCGTCCGAAATAGCACGTACTTTTCGGAGTCCTTGCGGTGGATGTCTTGGGTGGAGCTCGGAGTCTTTGGAGACGATGGCTTGCTGCCGCTGGCGCTGCTGTTAAAGCTCGATCGCTTCTGGTCCGCGGGATCCTTTGGGGCGAAGCGCGACTTGGGCGACGATGGATTGCTCACGAGCAGCCGATTCAAATGCCCGGCGCCCATGGCCGCCATCCAGGCCGGGCTGTTCTTGGGTCTCTCCGATATTCCCCCATCCATCGACACTGCCGTCGTCGCCGGCATTGCCTGCTCCAGATCGGTGGAGCTCGCGGCGCTGCTCCTCTTCCCCATCTCCACGTCCTCGTCCTCCCCCATTGCTTCCTTTCTTCGCGTGAGTGGTGATGATCCAGTGTTCTCTCTCCCGAGCGCTTGCGTGATATGGATCGATCGATCGAATTAGGCGCGGCTTAAGTAGCGATTGTTCCAGTGGAGATCCGTGCTGCTTTGATCTGTCACGGGCGCAGTGGCACTTACAGTGGCCGCGCTTGAGCCACACAACCAAATTTAAGCTCTCCATGTTATAAACCCTAAACTATGGGGGATATTCCTAGGAATTTGACACGTCTCCCGACCGTATGATCACTCACTTTCTAGTCAACAGTGCCCGAAAGCGCCGCCACCACCGTCCACGCTCTGGAGCTTCAGTCTGTCTTTAGCTACCGCCTCCAGTCTCACCATCGCCAATCCTCGCGAGCCAAGAGCTGTGATCACTGACCCCACTTCTTCCCGGTTTCTCCATCCATAATCTCTGTGCCACGAGCCACTCCCTCGCGCATTTCTGCGATTAAACAAGCAAACCATGAGAGCTTCGAGTTGCTGTCGAGGATGAAAGCTCACGACTAGCTGGAGACTCTAAAGAAGAGAGTTTTCTAAAGTGCCGTGTTTGGAGAGTTGTGATGCGAGTGGAAGGAAGCACGCTCACGTGAGTACGAGATCCTAAAGAGAATAAAAAAGAGTGGAGAGCAAGGAAAAGTACCTTCCGCGTTTTCCAGAACGAGACTTACAGGCATGAGCGGAAATGCGTCCTTGGTATTAGTTCCTGTCCGACGTTGCAGCCTTTCTCAAAGCTGATGGGGTTGAGAGCGGCCATGTTGTACTCGAGTGGAATGGCTTCTCCTGGGAAGAAGTTTACAACATCTAAGTTTGTACGAAACCGTAACAGGAAAAGTGTTTAACTCACCTCCAGGAATCCAGTCGCCAGAGAAGGTAACACTCCTCGTCAACTTCTTGACCAGCTTCGATCAAAGGGGCTGTTCTAAAACAAGAGTTGATCAACAATTTCTTCTTGGTAAGTCTCTTCTCGTGACTGACAAACCTTGGACAGATTCTAACATGTTATGCCAGAACGGAATCCAAGCGCGACGAGCCTGAGATCTTTAAACCATCCCCAGCCTTTTCCATATTCTTCGGCAGCGGTTGTCCCACTCAAATCCCGGCCTCCAGCCCAGCCGATGTTGCCAGCGCCAGTCTCAGAAGTGAAAGGATCTGCCAAAGCACCGCCAAAGCGTTGAGATCCTTCGAAAGGTCTTCAATGTTGGCTTTGGAGCGCCTGAAGAAAGATTAAAATCTGAGAAAGTTTTAAGTATGCTGGACAAACTTAAGAGAAATGCATTTGGAAAAACAAACAAGGAAGCTGATGGAACGCAAGCAACTGAAAACCATTCGAGCGTGAGATATAAAAATACCGTTGAACAAGGAAAAACTAGCATAAAATCGTGCAAAGTCGCAGAGAATCCCACACTTGAATGTGTCGTCGCCGTCGAATCCCAGCACGGCGCGGCTGTTGAGACGCGAGGCAAAGGGCCCGCGATCGGTGAGCACCCGGCATGGCGCCCCCCTGGATTCAGCTGCTGGGGCATGCTGGGCGAGGAGAGGCGCGCGCTAGAGAGAGAGAGTGAAGAACCTTTAAAATGTGATGACACCCCGACACCCGTCGTGTTGCTAACCCATACCTATGAGCAACTTACTTTTTTATCATGTAAAATCCTTGCTCTCGTGTTCATGGAAATCTTTGAGCATCAATCAATCTCGAGAAGCTGCAGTGTGAATCCTTGGTGACTGTTGCAAACAAACAAGTAGCTCCACAACAATGGTGTAGAAGTTGAGTATATCAGTTCTCCAAGAAAGTAGGTTATTCTCCCAGAGCATTATTTTCATAATTTTATTTTTGTAAAAAGCATGGTCAAAAGATTGTGTTTAAGTGAATTAAAGGTTGTTTAAATTTCACTTAGAATAGCTATATTCATTATTTAAGGTAAAGTAATATATATATTTACTATCTTCCCCTTTAGAAAATTTCTAGAAAATGAGAAAGTTTACCTTCCTCACTAGAAAATAAGTAAGCTTCAAGAAGTTGAAACACCACTAGATTAGCAATTTATACAATATAATTGCTAACAACTATAATAAAAATAGATTATAACTATAGCACAAATATTAGTCAATTATGAAATCTTAAAGAATTGAGAAATTGTAAATCTAAAAGTTACAATGTCAAACCAAAAAAAATAAATTTGAGGGCAATTGCAATCCACTACATAGCAAATGATAAATTTCCTTTTTACATTGCCCTTCAATTAATTTACAACCATCATTTGAATTTACTTTTGAGACCATCTTGAACTCAAATTTATAACAATTTGAACCTGTAGTGCACCTTATCTCATGAGATAGAAAAATATTTAAAATAGCTATTAATTATTGAAAATTGAACTTATGACATTTTCTTTAATGCCACATGTAATATATTTTATCTCTCTCTTTAAGCCAATTGAAAAAAATTTAATTACTTAATAAAAAACATTTTAATGGTTATTATATCTCCATTTATTCCCTAAGGTTCTAAAAATCCACAATGATAATATAAGTGCTACACAATTTATATTTGCATTTTTTTATAAATCACCCTTTGAAGTTTAAGTTAACTTAGACAAACAACCATCATTTTTGTCTAACATTACAAATTAAAGGCTAAATTCACTTCATTCATTTTCCATATCCTCACCCTCAAAGGAGAAAAAATTTAAAGCACTAACTCCATTTAAACTTATTATACTCATTCTTATTTTGTTACTTATATTTGGCCTCATTCCATTATTATATTATCTCAAATATATTCTTTCTTGATTAAGTGTTTCATTTGGACTTATTACACTTATCTTCACTTCATAATATATGTTATTCAACTTCATTTTAATATCATTTATCAATCATTTTTATTCCATCATTAGGGTTGAACTTTCATTCATCCCCTCTACCCCATCTTATTAGACAAAAAGAATTAAAGTATTGAGCCAAAGTAAAAATATTGAGTAAAGAATATTATAGAAAACAAAAAAATGGATAAGTATAGGAAGAAGAACTTTTAGCAATTATCAATATAAAAATGAAAAACATCAAAGAATAAAATGTGAGAAAGGCTTAGATAATAATAAACCTTATAATATAACAAATTTTGTCAAAAACAATGTTGGGTAATAGCGGATGTTTTGCTATAAAATACTTTGAACAATATAAGATAAGTAAAATATTGACATTATTCAATATTAAACTTAGCATTTGAGACAAAAAAAAAATTAAAGAAAACTTTACATAAATAAAGAATTTCTTAGCAAAAATGGTAAAATAAATATTTTTAACAATTGCCAAGATAAAATTCTAGAAAAAGTAAAACCCCTTAAATAAGGGAATATTTAACAAAACTAATCAAAAACTTCACCAACAAGACAAAAACAAGATTCTTGACCATGAACACAATTTAAACATATGGATAAATTTGAAAAAGGCAAATAACACTCAAGTCAACACTTGACAAAGAATGAAAATCACAAAAGTCTAAATTGATCAATATATCAGAAGAAAAAAGTATAGAGATGAAGAAAAAATACTAGAAACATGAGGAGGTGGCAAAAGTTAGAAAATAAAAAAAGGTTAGAAAAAAAAATAAAAGGCAAAGAGAACTCAATTTATACTATTTTTTTTTAAAAGTTTTATTTGTTAGAAGGAATTTGAGCTATCCAATATAAAAAAATATAAATTTAACTTCATGAGTTTGTAAACTATATAAACTTCTTTATGCATCCAAATTATCTACTTGATGTATGAAGGAATAGTGGCCTATAAGTGCTTTTTGTTTTCTTAGAGAAAATTCTTGGTCATCACTTCCATTTATTCTTCTTGCTAATTATTAAAATTTGAAATGTTGCTACCAAATTTGAGTGGATAAAGCTTAAAATGTAATAAAACTCAAAGCTTTTATAGAATTTAACACTTCATGTATAATTTATTTAATACAAGCTTGACTAGATGGGACTTCTTAAGCAGATCATGATTATACATGTATTTACTTTGTCTAGAAAGAACTTTAACTTTGCTATCATTTGCCAAGATAATAATGTTTGTACACATTTTCCATGTTTAGATAATAAAGAAGGCCTTAATATCGAATTTATGTATTCTACCTATGCTTTAGAATTTATACATTACACTAGAAACAAACTCTGGATATAAATAACTAAAGCTTAGTTCTCTAAAAAAAACTATATTTTTTAATTGTATTTCAACTTCTTTCCAGTTTTCCCATTGATTTTTTTCACTAGACTAATCTTCTAAAAGATAACTAAAATGTTTCATGTAAAGGAAATAGGATCTAACCCATTTCTTATCTTCTATGAGATCTACCACTTAGTTTTATAGGGTTTTGGTGTATTTTTAGCTCTACTAAAATATAAATATATTGGATGGATTAGATTCAGTTGAAAGTTTTGGTGAGATATGTATTATACTAATATATAGATTTAATCTGTATGACCTAGAATTTGTGCCCTTTTATTACAGCTTGCTTCAATTTTCAGAAGTATGTTAAAATTTATTTTAATGAATTTTATGGACTGTGATTTTTTTTTTTCTGATCATGCTGTAAGCACAGTAAATTATTTAAAATTTTAAAACAAAAGTGGTCCGCCCAACAGCAGCTGAAAGCACCACGAAATGTCATCCAAGCGTTTCATGAAGAGTTTCAACAACAATCTACCTGTCCTCAAGGAGATTTTTTCTTTGTTCTTGCCATCAATCAAGCATCCATAGCGAAACGAAAAAATAGAATGAGTGGAACCACTTGATTCAAATGAGTGCGTAGAAACCTCGGTTTGACTCGAGCTCGTCCTTGTCAATCAGATGGAGCAAGGCCAGCCAGCCAGCCAGGGCGAGTTTCAAGCTTCAGCGGATCGACGCCACTAAACAAGCATTTTATGTTGGCTCCCAGGAACATTACCAGAGCTCAGCTTCCTGGATATAGCAGCCCATGTCCAGCACTCCTCACCCGCGGACGAGCTCCTACATGCCGTAGGCTGTACAGTTAGAGCGCCAACTTTCCCCTTGTCACCTTTGCTATTGATCTCTGATAAGCTCGAGATGGACAAGCTTGCCGTCTAAAATGAGCACACACTATGATCTTCGTGTTTATAGTGTTCTATGTCACATGTGCGAGCTTATTCTAGGATGTGCATGAAGTGCTTGCATATGTTAGCTTAGAGCCCCTGCATTCATCAATTTGAGGAGCTCACTGGGAGCTTCTGCTCATATCAATATCTACGAGAGCAACAAGGATTCCGTGCGCTTGCCGTGCCGCAGTTGGGCTCGGCAGTGCTCCACGCAATGCAATTCACCACCATTTTCACCTGAATATAATTTTTTTTAAGAGTCTCGTTCATATAATACCGTCTTATCTCGGAGGCTGAAAGTTGGTTCATGTGTCTGCTCTTTTTAAAAAGCATTTTGATATAGCTTGTCAGCGCTCCTGCACAGAAAATGAAGCAGATATAATTTACCCCAGGTGCTGCTTGCAGCACTCTCCTTCAGCTGCAACCGTGTTTCCGCAAAGAGTTTTCCTGTCTGCGTTTCTGGCCGCACAGCAAGGCAAATGCCTGCGGCAGTAAAATCCTCTTCTGGAGTACTTATCTGTAGAACCGAGGGAATATTCCATCTGCTACCACGTCAGTGTTAGGGTGAGAGGAAGTGAAGAAAAATAAAAGATGCTTTGACAAAGAGTTCCTGCTCTAAATTGTGTTCCATCTTACTTCGATGAAGAAGTCGGCAAGTACCAATTGTCTAGATGGAATCTAGAGAACTCTTTGTCTAAGTCTTTTATTCTTCCTTACTTCCTCTTTTACATATGATGATGGACTGTTTAGTGCTTGCTGCTCCCATGCCTCCAAAAGAGGATTTTACTGCCACAGGCATTTGCCTTGCTGTGTGGCCAGAAACGCAGACGGGAAGACTCCTTGCGGAAACACGGTTGCAGCTGAAGGCGAGCACCTGGGGTAAATTATATCTGCTTCATTTTCTGTGCAGGAGCGCTGACAAGCTATGTCGAAATACTTTTTAACACATGAACCACCTTTCAGCCTCCCAGATGAGACAGTATTATATGAACGAGACTCTTAAAAAAAATTTATATTCAGGTGAAAATGGTGGTGAATTGCATTGCTCTAGATCGTGCTCTAGATCTTCCCTAGAAGCACGGGTTCCATGACGAATCGTGCAACAAGGAGTACACCTGCAGGCACTTCCTCCTCAGTCTCCAAGTTGCCGATGAAATCGGACCACAGCCTGTGCGTAACAGAACTAATTAGTTTTGTATACTTCGCCACGTCGCCGCCAGCACGTTCAAAGAATTTCAAGAGTCTCGGCATCCCCCCAGTTAGAAAGGTTAAGCTTGTACTTTGCTTCACAGAGTCAGGCAACGACGACAAGCCCTTCCATGTTGAAAGCTTGGCTGCATTGAAAGGCCCGTTCACCATGAACTTGTCGCACTCGAGCCGTAGCTTCTTCTTGGGATTAGCCTCCATGGCGAGGCGTTCTCTGCTGTCAACCGACGGAATCTGGACCAGGATTTGGTGCTCGACAAGCTCTTCAACGCAGCTTCTGGCGGTCTCCTTAGCATTCTTTAGTTGCTCCGAATCTTCGCTTTTTGTCTCTGTCATCGACCACAAACACGAGACCTTTCTTCAGAATGCACCAAGCGATAAGCATATCAAGGTCTTGCACTTTACGGATCTCCTTCGTTTCAACGGTTTGTTCACAGAATGCAAGAAGCAAGCTCCTCCACAAGGTAAGCAGTGAAAACTTGATACATCAAGGAACACGCTCCTCCTCAAGCCCGACTGCTGGATGTGGTTGCAAACTGCATGAACCAAGACTGTCCGAGCCTTGGGAACCCATCACAATGACCCTGCCCCTCTTCAACTGTAAGATCCGCCGGTATAGGTCTTTAGCAGCTTCGCGTCCAATGAACATCAACGAATCTCCGTCGCCCTCTATTGGCTGTTCCTCTTCTGTATGCCCATCAATCCCAGGCCAGAGAAGACGCATCGAGTCCGTCGTTGCCGATAGGTAGGATAGGATCTTCAACAGTAGGCTAAAGTTGCGCAGACTTTGCACACTTTTCGAATAATGTGGATTCTCAGAATCTTTTACACACATATATATAGCTTTCCACATTTAAAGACCAACTTGCCTGCGAGAAAGAAGAGCTTCTCTTTCTGGAGCGTGAAGGGATGGATCTCGGACATACATGAGAATGTTATACTTTTTCCCAGCAAACGCAATTAAACAAATTTTTGTGGGATTAAACAAAGTTCGTGCGTTGGCGATCAATCAAGGCCCATGGCTGGAGCAGTGAATTCATTACCATGACTTGGCTGGATTCCCTCCTTGGCTCATGTAAATCTTACTTTTAATTTTGGAAGAGAAGGAGAGTATCAGATTGGATCATAATTGGAGTGTCTGCCAAGCAAGCGCCAGGATTGTCGCCAATTCTGTTCCAGGCCTCCCAAATAATCTAGCTGTGCTGGGTCACATTTCAAGAAACAAATGTTTATTATATTCAGAATGAGTCACAGTGGTTGTTTGATATAGGAGTTCATGCCTAATAAGTCAGTCTCTCAAGTACTGGGGAATGTCATATGGTGACAGTAGGCATGAACATAAGATTACTTGTTGCTTTTCAGCTTCACATTCTTTTGAGAGGAGCTCAAAATGACCTCATGAAAGGTTGGTTGATGCCGTTTCCCTCACTTTTATCAAAGAGAAAGAATTCGGCAGGTCATGGATACCTCTAGTTATGAATCCGATGAAAGGTTCTACACAGTTCCACAACCGAGTGACTTCTTCTTTTTCCAGAGTAAAGGCATGTCGAGAAGGAAATTTGTGAGAGTAAGTGATATTAAAAAGGAGTTCAACCTGTATGCAAAGGACTGAGAAAATGTTAGTGCTGACAGGTGTGTACTCCAATTGTTACCATTTGCAGTCGAGGCAATAGCTCCAAACGGCTTTGGTTTTGTATTCGTTGCCAAATGGCTACCATTTATACAGGAACACCACGAGATTTGCAAGAAAAGACACGTAGTTTCCTGTGAGAAAAAAGAAAACATTAGAACATGAAATTATTGCTCATATCGCTATTTGTAAAGCCAACACAGATAGCAAAGCTCCAACAAGCATAGGCATAAGGCAAGAAGCTCGTTGGCAGCTATTAAAAAATTGGAAACCTGGAAAAAGAAGAGAACACTGACTTTTTGGTTCGAGAATGTGTGTCACAATAAGCACGTAGCATTTCCATGTATTCTACAGCTTCCTGGATGTCGGTGTTGCTGCTCATATCGCCTGCGGCTTCTGTATTCTCTAGGGACTTCTCCATAACCTTAAGATTAAGTCCGAATCAAGGACACTGCTTGCGGGTTCGATTATTAGTATGGGATCGCGTTCGGAAGAGCACGTAGTTCTTGCGGTGGATATGCCTTGGGTGGTCGAGCTTGGAGTTTTTGGAGGCTTGCTGCAGCTGGCGGCGCTGCTAAAGCTCGATCGCTTGTGGTCGGACGCGCTGGGCGAATTGCTCACGAGCAGCCGATTCGAATGCCCAATGCCCATGGACGCCATCAATGTGTGTTCTTGGGTCTCTCAGATGATCCGCCATCCATGGACACTGCCGCCGTCGTCGCTGGCATTGCTTGCTCCAGGCTCGCGGCGCTGGCCCCTCCCCATCTCCACGTCCTTGTCGCCGATTCCTCCCTCATCTTCTTCGCGTTGATGATCCAGTTTTCTTTCTCGCTCCTTGAAATTCATTGTTATAAACCCTAAAATGTAGAGGCGATATTCCCAGGGATATGCCCATCATTTTGTTGTTGGCTAAACTCTTGGCCATATCACCAGTGGCCCGGTTAGTCAACAGTGCCCCATTGACTGGGCCACCATTTGGGCCGAATGGGCTTCACGAAAGCGCCGCCGCCACCGTCCACGCTCTGGAGCTTCAGTCTGTCTTTAGCTGCCGCCTCCAGTCTCACCATCGCCAATCCTCGCGAGCCAAGAGCTGTGACCACTGACCCCACTTTCTTCCCGGTTTCTCCATCCATAATCTCTGTGCCACGAGCCACTCCCTCGCGCATTTCTGCGATTAAACAAGCAAACCATGAGAGCTGAAGTTTCGTGAGCTGCTACCGAGGATGAAAGCTCACGACTAGCTGGAGACTCTAAAGAAGAAAGCTTTCTACAAGCTGCCGTGTTTGGAGAGTTGTGGAAGGAAGCACGCTCGCGTCGAGTACGAGATCCTAAAGAGAAACTAAAAGAATGGAGAGCAAGAAAAAGTACCTTCTCCGTTTTCCAGAACGAAGTTTACAGGCATGAGCCTCTTGCGAATTTCTCCTCGGTAATGCGTCCTTGCTATTAGTTCCTGTCCGACGTAGCAGCCTTTCTCAAAGCTGATGGCGTTGAGAGCGGCCATGTTGTACTCGAGTGGAATGGCTTCTCCTGGGAAAAGAAAGAAAGAAGTTTACAGCTTCTAAGTTTGCACGAAACCGTAAGTGGAAAAGTGATTAACTCACCTCCAGGAATTTCAGCCGGGCCTTCGGGAACTCCCTGCTCAAGTCGCCAGAGAAGGTAATACTCCTCGTCAACTTCTTGATCAGCTTCGACCAAAGGCGCTGTTCTAAAACAAGAGTTGATCAAAAGTTTCTTCTTGGTGAGTCTCTTCTCGTGACTGACAAACCTTGGACAGATTCTTACGTGTTATGCCAGAGGAGAAGACGCCACGGAATCCAAGCGCGTCGAGCCTGGGATCTTTAAACCATCGCCAGCCTTTTCCATTTCCTTCCGCAGCGGTTGTCCCACTCAAGTCCCGGCCTCCAGCCCAGCCGATGTTGCCAGCGCCAGTCTCGGAAGTGGAAGAACCTGCCAGAGCACCGCCAAAGCGTTGCCAGGCGCAGAGATCCTTCGAAAGGTCCTCGATATTGACTTTGGAGCGTAAAATGTACCTGGAGGAAGATTAAAAACCGAAAAAGTTTTACGGACGTTGGACAAGAATTTAAGAGATGCATCTGGAAAAACAAACAAGAAACCTGATGGAACGTAAGCAAATGAAAACCATTCGAGTATGACATATAAAAATTCATTGTTTTTATACAAACAAGGAATAACTAGCATAAAATCTTGCAAAGTCGCACCCAGGCAGAGAAGGAAACAAAAAATAAAGAAGCGAAGCAACAGCAGAATGGAAAGACGAAAAAAAGGTATCGGAGCAAATTCCCATTATGACATAAAAGAATTTTTTTGCGATGAAATAAACTTGCAAAAACACCCCAGCCAAAGAAAAAAGAAAAAAACAGGAGAATGGAAAGACAACTGGTAAAGAAGTTGATGCGAGAAACATACTAATGATGAAAGCAAACCAAATAAAAAAAGGCACTAGAAAACCATGAGGAAGAACTTGAGCAAGAAGAAATCGAATTTTGGATACCTTTTGAGATAAGCGATGAGATCGTCAAAACTGGCAGCATCCACATCGGCAACGAGCTGTGGAACACTCTTGCCAGCCCCTGGAGCATCGCCACCCTTGCCCAGCTTCTCGGATTCCTGCACAGGCTTGTAGAGGAACATATCAAACAAGAACCTCCCCTGGGGGTTGAGAATCCCAGTGTAGATTGGGGGCTGGACGACGCCCGGCTGATTGGGAGTGGGCGTTCCCAGCTTGGCGGAGTGCTCGTCGGCCTCGAGCTGGAGAACGTCGTTGGTTGCCAGGCCTTGCAGGAACTTGAATGTGTCGTCGCCATCGAATCCCAGCACGGCGCGGCTCTTGAGACGCGAGGCAAAGGGGCCGCGATCGGCCAGCGCCGTGGCGCCAGACGAGGAGAGATCGGATGGCGCCCCCCTGGATTCAGCTGCTGGGGCATTCTGGGCGAGGAGCCTGGAGAAGACGCGCGCCGCATTCACCCGCTTCATCGTTGAGACTGAAGAACCCTAAAACTGTGATGGACACGTTACACGACACGCGTCCTGTAGTAATAGATTTCCTTTTTCTCTTTTCTTTGGATTTTAAATGTGATACACCCCTTTTTCTTACATTTGGCGTAATTAGTGAATAGATGTATTTTTCTTTTTTCATACACATTTTAATGAGCAATACATGCCAAATTGAAATTCTTACAAACACCAGTACCAACCATTTGCATACTTGGGGTGCCCACCTCCACAGAACCAAAATACTTGGATTTTAATGCCCCTTGGGCAGAAATCCTTTTGCAAGGATCCACCTTTAGCATCCTTGCCATAAGCTCCACAGTGCTCTTATCGCCTACTATAAGCTCCAATTCTGACCATGAATTCCATGCTTGAATTAATTCCATCATTTGGCATTTCCGATCCTCTTCATTCATAAATTCATAGTCTATGGGATCAAATAACCGAAACTCTAAAACCATCTCTGCAAAGACACACCCGGCTGCCCATATGTCTATTGCTGTAGAGTAAAGGCCCCTCTCACCCTTGAGTTGCTCGGGAGAATGATATGACAGTGTCCCAAAACATTCCCTAGGTTGTTCCCACAACCTTCGTGCGTGACCAAAGTCAGCAAGCTTTACCACACCACCTTTCACTAGCAGATTTTCGGGCTTTATATCCTGGTGGACAATTTTGTTGGAGTGGATCCATGCAAGCCCCGAAAGGATCTGCCTCATGAACGATCTGATCTCATGTCCTTCAAACCTCTTATGATGTCTTAGGTCTGTTTCCATCAACTCAAAGACCATGAAGCTGCCATTCTTGTTTGTTGTAACATCCAGAAGATTGATGATATTCACATGCCCAGCACACTCTTCCAAGATTTCTACCTCATTCACCATAGCATTCAAAATAGAGTGCTCTTGTCCTAAATACTTAATTGCTACCTTGTTATGGTTTTGATTGTTACACCCCAGCATCACTTTTCCTTCACTACCACACCCCAACACTCTCCCAAAACTGTATTTTTCCATGTCGTGGTCGAAAAAGGATAGTTAGGGCAGTGCACTCTTCATCAAATTAAATAGTGCATTAAGTCAAAAGGTAATTAAGTTAAACATTACTGCTTAACTACCTTTTCACAGTAAAAGTCTTTCCATTTAATTGCACATGGAAGAAATTTTTCTTTACATAGACCAGACCACTGGAGAACCTGTTTGCAAACATTCATAGAAATCAAGACAAAAAACACAAGCAAGATGAATGAAAGGAATGATATATACACACCCAAATGAGTAAGCTCTGGTAGCACGCTGGAACTCGAGCTTGCTCGAGCTCAGCCATGACACACCGCAGCAGTGGGCATGGATCGGCAAATGTTGGCATACTTCTTGATGGCCTCCTTGGTGCCGCGCTTTGGCTCGCCCTCTGGAACCGGCGGAATAGCCTTGGCAGCTCCAGTGGCAACCATGGACAAGAGTGCCACTCCCACACTCGCAACCATGGCCCTGCGTTTGATCACTTCGTCCTTTTTCTCGCTGGCTTGGCACCTCACCACCGAGCTCACTCCCCCGGCCTTCCTGTTCCTGTTCGTCGTGATAGTGGCCTTGGTGCTAGCGATCGAGGAGAGCGAGGAGGCCACTGCGCTCGCCATGGCTGCTGCTACTGCTGTACCTGTTAAGTTTGTAGCTCTTCCTCTACTATACCTCTTTTGGCTTCCACCTCTTTTGTGTCACTTGGTTTTGCTCATAAACACCATCCGATGCCAAGGATGCCAATTGGATGACCGTGGATAAGCTGGAGATAAGGTTGTGAATGGCCGCAGTGTAGCTTCGTGGCTCGGGCAGCGGCCGTTGGATCCACTGCCTTGCTTAGAACCATAAACTTGATTTGGAAAAGGTAAAAGACGCACCGAAGCACAAGTGAACCGTTGGCGAGGACCTTTACTTCTTCTTCTTCTTTGGAAAGGACTTTGCGCTTCCTGGTGCCGGAGGTAATAGAGTTTGCAGCTTCTCGTCGAAGAGGTTGAGATTTTCCACCTCCTCCCTCAACGCAACTAGAAAACGCGAGAATCAAGACGTGATCAAAGTGGAGATGCAGCAAACTTTGAAAAGCCGTGTACCTGTTTTGGGATCTAAAGGCTCCAAAACATACTTTGGCGGCTCGATGAGGCTTGTCGTGGTTGCTGGCGGCGGCGGTACTACAGGGTGCTCTGGATAAGCCGGGGCTGGTTTATAAGGCCGCAGCAACGCAAGCTGGGACGCTCTCTTCTCGAAGAAAGTGTTTGCGAGATTGATCGCTCCCACTTTGATGTTCTCATTCTCTTCCTTGAAGTCGTCGGGTATGTCCTCAAAATCCTCGGGATGTTTCTCTCTGCGTTTCTCTGGAAAAACAGAAAGAGAGCAAAGAGACACGAATCAGCACACAAGAAAGTAACCAAATCCGTCACCTCATAGCCAAAGTCGCTTTGCTAAATGGCTCTACACTCTAACCCCGACCCCTCAAGGCAGCACATTCACGGTGGTGATGGCAGGCAGGGTTGGCTCAGAGGCAACGGATGATTCGTAGACCTATAAAGCGACGTCGCTGCTTCTCGATGGAATGTAGCCTTGTCAAGAGATGAAGCATGTCCTCTCGTAGCTTCCTTTGCCTGTTCCAGGCAACCTTCTCGGCTACCATTTTTTCATGTTTCTGGGGAGAAAAAAGAAGTTTTTTAGACTCGAGAAATCGCAGACGAGAACTTACCTTGATCAAGTATTTGTCCGTCTCATAGTGCTTGTATAGATCGGTACTCCTTGCCGAGCGATGGCAAAGCAGGAAATCGTGTGTATGACCACCCTGAGAAACCAAACAATGTAAAAAAGAGAAAATTTTCTTTCTCCAGAAGAAGCTGTGCTTACCATTTCCCAGGGCTTGCAAAGAGCTCGCAGCAACACATCGGCATCGTATTGCATCGCCGGCTTCTCGTGTGGCGCCTTCATGAACGACTGTCGCCTGGCGCTGGCGGCCTTCTCGATCTCACCCTTGGGCGCCGAGAGCTTGCGATCCACGGCGGCGCGATCCAAGCCCACACTGGGCGTCTTGGGCGGATCCATGGCCATCGGCCCAGTCCTGCGAAAGAACCGGGAAAAATGTAAGCCCTAACCGATGGGTGCGTCGAAAAAGTACCTCTACGTGTCATTCTTTTCTTCTACGTGGCCCATCTCCAGCCGTTGTATCACCCACGTCATTAGCCCAGCTGACATGGCGAGCTCAACGTGGCTTCTCCGCCGGCAAACACGTCAGCAAACATCGATTGACGTGGATATGGTTTCCCGCGCGGCAATCAAACTTGAAACGAGGACGTACACTGGCGGGTGCCGTACGTTGAGCCGCAAGGCGCCAGTGGCCGCCCTATTCCCGCTCTTGGCGCCCGAGTGGTTCTTGCAAGCTCCGAGCAAGCACGTCCAATCCAGGAGCTCCGGGACGTAGGGCATGGATGCGATGAGATCCTCCGCGGCATCCAGATGCCCTAGGCGGCCCAGGAGATCTAGGATGCAGCAGTAGTGCTGCTTTGAAGGCTGGATCCCAAAATCCATGGCGATGGACGCGAAGAAGCTCCGCGCCGCCGCCAGATCGCCGCTGTGGCTGCACGCCGCGAACACCGACACGAAGCAGGTATCGTCGATGCAGTCCTCGAGCTTCATCGCCTTGAACGCGTCCAGGGCGGCGGAGCTCTGCCCCGCGATCGCAAACGCCGCCAGCATCGACGTCCAGGAGATTGTGTCGCGCTCCGGCATTCGATGCATGGTTTTCCTCGCGCGATCCAGGCGTCCGTGCTGCGTGTAGCACGCCAGCATCGAATTCCAGGAGATGAGATCGCGCTGCGGCATCTCCGCGAAGATAATCTCCGCGTCGCGGATTTGCCCGTTCTGGGAGAAGGCCGCGAGCATCGCGTTCCACGACACTGGCTGATGTTGGGGCATGGAATCGAACACGCGCTTGGCCTCCTCCACATAGCCCAGCGACGAATATCCCATCAGCATCGAGGTCCACGACACGGAATCTCGTTGCTCCATGCCATCGAACAGGCATTTGGTGTTCTCCAGATCCCCGCTCTGGGAATATGCCACCAGCATGACATTGCAGCACACCACGTCCAGCCGTGGGATTCCCTGGAAGATGCCATGGGCTTTGTGAATATGCCCTTCTCGGGCATATCCCGCAACGAGGGCAGTCCAGGAGAGTAGACTGTGCTGTGGCATATTCTCCATCAGGGAATGTGCTCTCTTTATATCACCCGTTTGGATATATGCTACCAGCATTGCCTTCCACGTCACCAGGTCCCCTTCTGGCATTCCCTCGAACAAACGCATGGCCTCCTTTACTTGCCCTGACTGTGCATATCCAGTCAGCATGGCATTCCACGTCACGAGATTCCACTGAGGCATGGCATCAATCAAATTCCTTGCCTCTGCCAACTTGTCAGTCTGGACATACCCAGAAATTAATGAGTTCCATGAAACTATATCATGAGAGGGCATTTGATCAAACACACCCTTTGCAAGATTGAGAAAGTTGAAATGAGCATAAGCTCCTAAGAGTGCATTCCATGACCTGAGATCTCTTTCTGGCATCTCGTCAAAGAGGACTTTGACAGAATCTATGGATCCCATTCTGGAATAGGCACCCAAGAGTGCGTTCCAAGTTACAAGATCCCTGTGAGGAACCTTTTCAAAGATCTCTACAGCTGAGAAGAGATGCCCGTTTTGGGCATAGGCCGAGAGCATTGCATTCCATGATGCAAGAGAAGGTGACGAGAGATTCTTAAACACAGCCTTAGATCCCTGAAGATCCCCGTTTTGGGCATAAGCGGAGAGAAGAGTATTCCAGGAAATGTCGTCAATAAATGGCATTGTGCTGAAGAATCGAGCCGTTTCTTTCATATGCCCTTGCTGGGCATAAGAAACCAGCAAACAATTCCAACAAGCAATGTCATGCTCGGGCATTTTATCAAACAATTCCTTCGCCTGATCAAACTCCCGGCTTCGATTCAAGGACCCCAAAAGCGTTGTGAAAGATACCAAGTCCTTTTCAGGCATTCCCTCAAGGAAATCTCTTGTTGCGTCGTGATTCCCAGCCTGTGAAGCATATCCACACAACATTGTGTTCCAGGTGACGGAATCTCCCACAGGCATGGCTTCAAAGATCTGCTTGGCCTCCTCCAGAAGGCCATTTTCGGTGTATGCAGCCAACATGGTGTTACAGGAAAGAACACTTTTATGGGAACTGGATTCAAAGAAACACTTTGCTCTCTCCAAATTTCCAGATTGAGTATATCCACCCAGCAAAAGATTCCAGGAAATTGGATCCGTCTGAGGCATTGCAGCAAAGGTTTTCTCTGCGTCTACGACATACCCCTTCTGGGCATAGGCACCCAGTATTGTGTTCCAAGACACCATATCCCGCTGAGGCATCTTCTGGAATATCTTGTAAGCGTCTGCAATATGCCCGTTCAAGGCACATCCGGAGAGCATTGCGTTCCAAGAAATCAAGTCTCTTTCCGGCATTTCGCTGAAGGTATTTAGCGCTTGCTCGCAGTTTCCCTGCTGAAAATTTACACACAGCACTGCATTGAGCGACACCAGACTCCAAGCAGGCATGTCATCAAACACAGCCTTGGCTGCTTGAAAATCTCCAATGTTGACATAGCAACCAAGAACAATGTTCCACGAGACAACGTCCCTCATAGGAATGTTCTCAAAAGCTTGCTCAATCTCAAACACATACCCACTTTGGGCATATGCCGTGAGCATAGAGTTCCACGAAACCAAGTTCTTTTGCGGCATTTTCTTGAAAACATCTTTTACCTCTGTCAAGTCCCCAGATTCGGAATATGCGTTTAGCATAATTGTCCACGAAATCACGTCACAGTAAGCCATTCTCTCCAAGATACTTTTAGCTTCATTAAGATACCCCCTCTGGGCATAAGCATCAAGCATGGCGTTCCAGCAAACGAGGTCCCGCTCTTCCATTCTCTCAAATATTCTTTTTGATTCCACCAGATCCCCTTCACGGGCATAAGCAGCTAGCATGACAGTCCACGACAGAACAGTGTGCCGTGGCATTGCATCGAATATGCGCCTGGCATCGTCTAGATGCCCGTTCTTGGTGTAGGCGGAGAGCATCGCTTCCCACGAAAACATGGTTTTGTCTTGTGGCAGCGAATCGAAAACTTCCCTCGCGAGCTTGGCATTTCCACACCTTGCATACATGTCTATCACTTTGTTCCACACAAAGTCATCGTTCTCTTGGATGGAACGAGTGTTCTTTACTTGAGCGTGAGTTTCTCTGGCTGCAGGCAGCGTTTTGCAGGATTGGATCAAAGACAGGCATTGGATTCTGTCCATGACATTGGTAAAGAGTGTTTGATCTTGTATATCATGAAGATTTAACTTTGAGTTAATTTTCCATGCAAAACCATGCACCTAAGAATGGCACTGCCAATTTTTGCCTTACGGGATTTGCCACTCTTTGCATGGAACCAGTTAGGTCTTATCAATGGGGACTCTTTTCTCTCGTTTTGCTGGGAATCGTCACAAGCATCGTCAACTCCACAAGACTTTGCGAGTCATGTTTTTCACCGGTAGAGTTGAGCTTCTTATACCATTTTTACCATGTACTCTTTGCTTTCTTACAGTCGGAACAGCCGCTACGCTTCAATGGAGTCCCAAATCTCTGAAAACTCCGCCCGGCGAGGTTTGATCCAGCGGTGGAGATTCAATGCCGGCAAGGGCTGGGTGTTTTGCGTTGACTTTTACGGCGGGCTAGAGTGGAAGGTTAATGTGGCCGACATTATCAAGGTAAATGGAACTTTTAGCGAGCTACGAAGTTAGTTAAGCATGTTGTTAAAATAGACATGATTATCAGGTTAGTTAATCAGAGTTTATGGCATGATAAGTTAAGATGTGGTTAATAACAAGCTTAAATTTTATCGCTAAAGCCCTAAAGGGGGCGGAGCGGCCATGGAGATGGTGCGTAATGCCGTCCGCTCCGTGCGAAGCATCCACTACCGGCAGCTCGCGACGCAGATCATCAGCTTGGGTGAGTGATCAGATCTACAGCGCCGCGGCGCCGGCGATCTGGATTTCTAGAGATTTGGGTTTTTTTGAGGTGAATGTGGTGCTTAGTTTCGGTGGAATTGTGCTTGTCCAGGGATGATCGTCACTTCTGCGCTGATAATCTGGAAGGGATTGATGTGCGTGACTGGGAGCGAGTCGCCGGTTGTGGTGGTTTTGTCCGGCAGTATGGAGCCTGGCTTCCAACGGGTAAGCAAGTTTATGGTTTTTTGCTAGAAGTGTTCTTCGTTTTCTTTCAGGGTGACATTCTCTTCCTGAGGATGACCAAGGATCCCATCCGAGCGGGAGAAATCGTGGTGTTCAACGTCGATGTAAGTGGCCAATCTCTCTCGGAGATTTTCTCTCGAAGAGTTTTGCAAAGTCTTGCAACTTAAGCTCCGGGGTTCTTGCAGGGTCGAGACATACCGATCGTCCATCGCGTGATCAAAGTCCACGAACGCCAGGAAACTGGAGAAGTCGAGGTTCTCACGAAAGGTTGGTTTCTTCGATTTCTTTTCTAGAAATCTGTGTGTGTGTGTGTGTCTCGTGAACTCTCATGAATCAGTGATCTTCGTTTTCTAGGCGACAACAATTACGGTGATGATAGACTCTTGTATGCGCAAGGCCAGCTCTGGTTGCAAAGGCATCACATAATGGGCAGGGCTGTGGGGTGAGTGCTTCGATCTTGCTCGCGAAAATCCTTGTTCTCATCGTGCGTTTTTTCGCAGGTTTCTCCCTTACGTTGGCTGGGTCACAATTATCATGACCGAGAAGCCAGTGATCAAGGTCTGGTTTTCCTTCTCATCTTTGATGTTCTTGCTGATTTTTTTTGTTTTTTCGATTTGATCGTCCGCGCAGTACATTCTGATTGGAGTGTTGGGGCTACTGGTTTTGACATCCAAAGAGTGATAAAAAAATCTAACTGTTGGAAGAGAACATTTGCATTTTGGAACAATTGACAATGGTTTATCCTTTGTGATGACGTGTCATAGCAAGTGGCTGATGACATCAGCCCTACATTTAGTAGCGATGGGCAAAGCATCGCCTTGAATACGCCAAGATTTCTCGATCTTTTGGAAATTTCTTTCCAGGACTGATCGTCACGTCCACACTGATGATCTGGAAGGGAAGCGAATCGCCAGTAGTAGTCGTCTTAACTGGAAGCATGGAACCTTTCGACGAGTAGCTGCAAGTCGTTTGAAAGCGATCTTGTCAGCGCGATTTGCTTTTCTTGAACATGACCTCCGAGCCGGAGAGATCGTCGTGTTTAACCTCGATGGAAGTCTCTCGATCTCTCTAGAACTTTGAAATCTCGTCTTGCAAGGACGAGACATACCGATTGTCCACCGAGTTATCAAATCCCAGCGAACATCGAGAAACTGGAGAAGTTGAGGTTCTCACGAAAGGTTGACTGCTTTTTTTTCCTTTCTTTCTCGAAAACTTTCGCAAAGTCATGTGTTTAATCTGCGAAAGCTTTTTCGCAGATTTCGCAGTATAGATTTGATTTAGTTTCGCAGTACATACTACTTGGAGCTCTCGGTTTGATGGCTTTGGCTTCGAAAGAGTTAACTTTACTGCCAAGACGTTTTCACCGCATGAAAGTTAATTAAAATTTTTTCTAAGTGTTGTGTGTTTACTTTGATTGCGAATCGTCAAAAAGGGAATCGAGCACAACAACCCATCAAATAAACTAGAGATTCCCCCCCACGAGATGCTCGTGGAATATTCCCGAGAATTCTACCACCGCCATTCGCTCACGTGTCCGGGCGCTGTCCGTGCGATGCCCTCCCATCCGACGCTCCGTACGCCTCGAAGGGTTTTCTTCGGCTGAGCGCCCTCTGTGTGTGTGTGCGCGTGCGCTGTGCCGGTTCTCATGGCGTGACGGAGCTAGGGTTCGTCGGGAGGAGCTCGCAATCGCGACAATTCGGCTCGGCGTCGAGGTATTTCGCGGGGGCGCGGCTCGCGCATTTTGGAAAATCTCTGGCCGGGATCTGTTGACTCGCGCGATCTGCAATTCTATGGTGTGGAATTCGGTGCTGCGTAGCTGCTAGCGCGATTTGTGAGGCAGGATCCGGAATTCCAGAAGCGAATTTCTCCCAATCACCATGGGATCGTTCGGTCTCGAGTCACTCCCGGTTCTCCTGTCCGATGTGTCGTCGCTGGTTTTGGTGCTGGCGGTATCCGCCAGTGCCTTGATAGTATCGATCGTTTTGTTGTTCTGGAGGAATGCTCCGGCCAAGAAGGAGGAAGAGAAGAAGATGTTTAAAAAGCCAACGATTGAAGTGGAACCCGAGGACGACGATCCCGACAAGAAGAAAGTTTCTGTTTTCTTCGGTACCCAAACAGGGACTGCCGAAGGCTTTGCCAAGGTCTTTCTTTCTCTCTTTTTTTCTTTGTGATGTTGTGATGGACTGAGAACTCTTGGCAGGCTATCGTAGAAGAAGCGAAGACAAGGTATGACAACTCGAAGGTCGTGCTCAAGCTTGTAGATTTGGTGAGATAATTATTTTGGCCGAGTGTTATCAGATTGAGATTCATTTGATGTTTTTATCTGGCAGGATGAATACGCTCCAGAAGATGACATGTACGAGCAGAAGTTGAGAAAGGAGACGCTTGTGATTTTTGTGCTGGCCACGTAAGTTCTTCCACGAAGTTGCCAGGTGTTCTTACTTGTTGATGCATTTTAGATACGGCGATGGAGAACCGACGGATAATGCTGCTCGCTTTTACAAATGGTTTGTCGAGGTATTTGAGACTTCCTTGTACGTACGTGTCATCGAAATTTTGGTGTTCCGTTTTCAGGGGGAAGAGAAAGAACCGTGGCTGGGAAACTTAAGTTACGCGGTTTTTGGTCTAGGAAACAGGCAATATGAGCACTTCAACAAGGTATGCGAGTTTACGTTGTTTGGCGAGCATAATCTTTATCGTTACCGTCCTTGCAGGTTGCAGTTGAAGTCGACGAAGCATTGGAGAAGCAAGGTATATCATACGATGGTATTTTTTAGTTTTTCCTCAAAACTTTCTGCAATGCAGGTGCAAAGCGGCTACTGAAATGCGGTCTTGGTGACGATGATCAGTGTATTGAGGATGATTTTACGGCCTGGTAAACATGTCACTGAATTAGCATTCGTTTCTTATCTTTTCGTTTGCTTAGGCGTGAGCAATTGTGGCCCGAGCTTGATGTGCTACTGCGTAGCGAAGATGAAACCGGCTCTGCGACTCCTTACATGGCTGCAATTCCTGAATATCGTGTGGTTATTCACGAAGGAGGCACAAAGGCTTATGAGAAGGTCGCAAGGAACGGCGAATCTCTGTGTGACATAAGCCATCCTATCAGGTAGGAATCTACCAAACTGTTTGTTTTTGTCCGTGCTTCTCACTAGCGATACTTGCAGATCTCCTGTTGCTGTCCGGCGTGAGCTTCACACGCCCTTATCGGATCGCTCGTGCACTCACTTGGAGTTCGATATTTCTTACACTGGCTTGACGTAAGTCCTATATATGTGGTTTAGTTTTTGTCTCATTGTAACGAACAGATATCTCACTGGGGATCACGTGGGAGTTTTTGCTGAAAACCAAGATGATGTTGTAGAAGAGGCGGCTAAAGTACTTGGATATTCGCTAGACACAATCTTCACACTGCACGGTGACAACGAGGATGGCTCACCCCTTTCAGGTGTGCCTCCTCCTTTCATGGGGCCGATCACAATGAAGGCGGCTCTTCAACAGCATACCGATCTGCAAAATCCTCCTCGAAAGGTAACTACCTGTTCTCTGCCTCTCTTCTAACGTGTTGATTGTCTTCAGGCAGTACTTTCCGTTCTTGCTGCCTATGCCTCCGATCCGGAGGAGCAAGAGCGACTGAAACACTTGCAGTCGCCACAAGGAAAGGTGTGTTTCCAAACTTTTACTCCTTATTTTACTAACTTGTGGCTACAGGACGAATATTCTCAATATATTGCTGCAAGCCAGAGAAGTCTTATTGAAGTTTTGCAAGATTTTCCATCGGTAAAATTGCCCATTGGTGTCTTCTTTGCTGCGGTAGGGGCCCGGTTGCAACCGAGATACTACTCCATTTCATCGTCTCCCAGGTACGAAAGTCTTTCTCTCACTTTTACTGTCTTAATGATCTGGAGCAGGTTTTCGCCGAGTCGGATACATGTCACTTCTGCTTTAGTGTATGGAAAAAGTCCAACTGGTCGATTACATCGAGGTGTTTGTTCTACATGGATGAAAGTAAGATCTTTGTCTTTTTCTCTCTCTCTCTCTTGTTTCTTATTCACGTGTTTACATGTGGACAGCATGCAAAATCGTCGGAAGAAACAGGAAATGACTGCAGTTGGTCACGTATTTTTGTCAGGCAATCTACGTTCAAGTTGCCGTCAAAGTCCACTGTTCCTATAGTGATGATTGGACCTGGAACAGGCTTAGCTCCTTTTAGAGGTTTTTTGCAGGTGAGCAAGCGTCTTTCGTCATAAATCATTTAGCGCACCATGTTTTTCTACAGGAAAGGGCTGCCCTCCAAGAATCTGGCGAGCAGCTGGGAACTGCGATTCTTTATTTCGGCTGCAGGAACCGGAAACAAGTAAGCTTGGCTGGAGTTTTTAAGCTGTAATCGATTCCTACCTTGCAACGCAGGACTATATATACGAGGAGGAGCTTGCAAGATACCGGGAGACGGGCGTTATCACAGATTTGTACGTAGCATTCTCAAGGGAAGGCCCGACGAAAGAGTATGTGCAGGACATCATGATGAAGAAGGTATGAGAAAACGTAAATGGGGGAGTGTTTCGTGACTGTCGCGCTTTTCTCAGGCAAACCAGTTGTGGGATATAATCTCCGGCGATGGATATATTTACGTCTGTGGAGATGCAAAAGGAATGGCAAAGGACGTGCACCGCACACTCCACACGATAGTCCAGGAACAGGTGCCGGATTTCATTCCTCGTAATGTTTTTGTCCCTGATTTTATTCCCGTTTTTATCTCAGGGCTCGTTGGACAGCTCCAAAACAGAGGCTTTTGTCAAAAAGCTCCAGATGGATGGCCGCTATTTGAGAGACGTGTGGTAACAGCAACTAGGAGGTAAACAAAAGGATACATCGAAACGATGTAAGATTTTGGCGCTCGTTCGTCGATTCTTTCCACGGATTATGTTATGTTTCTCTTCTTTTTTTTTTATAATGTAGACAGGCGCTTGATGTAGAAGGTGGCCAAGTTGAGTTGGCCGCCCATGAAAAAAGGATAAAATCATATTGGCTTGGGAGATCCTGTTGGCTTGTTTGTTATTGGCGAGCATGAACGAAGGTTTTGTGCTCCGGGCTACTGTTAAAATTTGGATTTGTATGACTTGGAAGGTTCTAACTTTATGATTCTATATTCCTGTATGTATGCTAATATGCTAATATGCTCAAAGACTTAGCTCGTCGTATTGTTAGCATCGCTAACTTCGCAGTTTGCACTGTCTTTTCTTTCATCTTGTCTCCTCGGGTACAAGCTAAGTCTCAAACTTTGTCGAGGCTAAAAGCTTCAGGCTATGGCTTTGGAGCTCGAGAAACTAAGAGCGCTCGAGCTGTTATGTCAGGTCCCTTTGGTTTGCTCGCAACGACGCTCGCAGAGACGACTCGTAGTTCGACCAGCAGCCGCTTCATCGGCGTCAGTAGACTCTGCAAAGCCGAGCAGTGAGTGGAAGCTTTGTGCAAACGATTGGACACATTGTCTCTGATACGAACTTTTGTTCTTGCAGGTTCCTTCGCTACCGCTCCGCAAGGTGTCATGACACTTCCCAGGACAGTGAGTCCTCCGAGTAGCAAAGAAGTGACAATTCGAGAGCCAGCAATCGAAGACGTGCATGCATTCTGGGATTACCAGAGGATTTTTGGCTCGCAACGAGCTGAAGTTAAGGATCCAGTCCGGCTCAAAGTCGTGGAGGGACGAATTCCGAGCGATTTAAAAGGGTCCTACTATCTCTGTGGTCCGGGTCTCAGGGCGGATGATCATGGATCCTGCGTAAGTCCTCTCGACGGTCATGGATACCTGAGAAAGTTTCACTTTGGCAATGGAGATCTTGTGCAATACTCGGCAAGGTTCGTCGTTGGATTGCATTTTTTTCTGGTGTTGATCTTATCCTCAGATATGTGAGAACGGAAGCGATGAAAGAAGAATTCGACGAGGAGTCTCGCTCATGGAAGTTTCAATACAGGGGGCCCTTTTCCCTGTTAAGACATGGCCACCGCATTGGCAACTTCAAAGTGATGAAGAACGTCGCAAATACCAGCGTGTTGAAATGGGGAGGCAAACTCTTGTGTCTTTGGGAAGGAGGTGAGCCTTACGAAGTCGACGAGGACACCCTCGAAACCATTGGAACTTTCAGGTGATTTCATACCAACTTTGCAGCTCCAACCCAATGTTTTCGTTTCCATGCAGACTTCCATTTGAAGAATCGGGAAAGGATGATAGACTGCAAAGCTCTGTAGCGCTGGATCTGTGTGCCAGGGCCCTGCTTCCCATACTGACAGGTATTTTATACTAGCATGCTGATCGCTTATTAACCTTTTATCCTGCAGGAGGATTTAACATGCCAAAAGAGAGAGTTTTGGCTCACTTCAAGATTGACGAGAGGAGGCAAAGACTTGTGGTGATCACGTCGAATGCTGAAGATATGGTGCTACCGAAGGCGACATTCACTGCCTATGGTACGATAAACATTCTTTCTTGTCAGAGGTATTAATGTGTTTTTGTTCTACTTGTGTAGAATTTGATGCAGACTTCAAGCTGATACAACGTAAGGAATTTCTTCTCAACGATCAGTTAATGGTTCACGACTGGGTTCTTACTGACGAGCACTATGTCATTCTCGGCAACAGGGTGACGCTCGATGTTGGCAGTAAGTCCATTCTTCTTTTCATTCGAAACAAAGTAAGATCCTGTTTGTATTTGAATGTAGGTTCACTCACTGCAATGGCGGGCCTTTCTCCCATGATAAACTGCTTGGCAGTGGACGAATCAACAACATACAGTCCCTTGTATATGCTTCCTCGATTCGACGAGAGAAACGGACGGGATTGGACTGTGCCTGCTAAAATTCCGGGCCAGCTTTGGGTGACCCACTTTGCCAACGCAAGCGAAGAAACATTGGAGGGGGGCCACAAAATTAGATTCGTCGTCGATGCGTGCCTCAGCTCTTACAAGTGGTTTTCTCTAAACAGCATATTTGGTGAGTTTGTAAGCTCTTATATATCAAATAGTGCTGAGTTTCCTCTCTTTCTTGTTCCAGGATACAAGTGGCAAGAACAGCATATGGATCCGGGCTGCATGAACAACACTTCCTCCTCAAAGTTCATGCCGGAGCAGCTACACTCTCCAAGAATGCACCGAGTGACTGTGGACGTCAGCAATCTCGATGACAGCATCCTCTTGCAAAAGTCGGAACGATTCAAGAATGCCAACTTCGCGACGGACTTCCCGGTTATAAACTCCACAGCTTCGGGTGGCAAGAACGAGTTCACGTACGCTACCACAAACTCAGGCCGGCGCAAGACCCTCTCGAGCTTTCCAATGGACAGCATCACGAAGCTCCACGGGCCAAGCGGCCGAGCATCGTCATGGTGGGCCGGGAAAAGGTGTGCTGTTGGAGAGCCACAGTTTGTCAAGAGGAAGAGCTCCCAAGGTGGCGAAGACGATGGTTACGTGATCTTTGTCCAGGTAAAGTTCTACGCCCAAGCAAAGTGCTTGAACAAGCTCTAATCATTCTGCTTTGCTCTTCCATTCTCAGTACTCGTTTGTGGACGAGAGACGCTACTTGGTGATCCTGGACGCGCGTCGCATTGGTGCAAGGGGCGCTCTCGTGGCCAAGGTGGAGGTTCCAAGAGAATACAGTTTCCCGTTCGGCTTCCACGGCTTGTGGCAAGACTCTTGATCTCCAGCGAGGTACCGATTCCCTTCTATTCTCTACACTCAATTCTTTCGAGCGTCATGCGTCGTGACTCATTCATTTATCAAGTTTCGAGTCCACCATAGATCATAGAAAGACGGAAAGGAATTCGAAGCGATCGAGAAATCGAAAAATCTCCAAGGATATTCGTGAGAGGAATATTCGTGTTAAGATTCTTTAAGAATATTCTTCAAAAGTATATTCGGCCGTTTTAAAAAAAGGCGCCAAAGCGCGAAGAATTAGGTCAGGCAAAGATGAGCGTCTTGGCAGCACGATTGCAATGCTTTCGTATGGATATGGGCTTGGATCATCATCGAACAGCAGGCAAGAGCAAGCACCAGCGATCCCCGGCAGCTCCAATTCCACCACCACCGCCGTCTACGTTGTCCTCTCCACGCTCGAGCACCGCCCAAGAGCCACGCGCAACCAGCATTCTCCCCCCCAGGCCGAGTGCGTCTACACGAACCAGGAGATGGCCTACTCGCACGCCCTGGCGCGAGCTCTAGAGGACGGCTCCGCCTGCCTGGACGACGATGGCGTGGAGCGGCTGTCGAGGATCGCCAGGGACATGGCCGCGCTGTCCATGCCTTTCAGGGAGTCGTGGCGCCGGGCGCACGACTTCCTCGAGGCGGAGAAGGCGCGGCTCGACTGGGACGTGTGGCCGCGCTGCTGGGTCCAGGAGACGCAGCTGAGCGTCCGGCGGATGTCCGGGGGCCCGGCGCTGCTTGTCGAGGGGCTCGGCTACCTCTTCTCCGACGAAGCGGCTCCTGAAAGCGAGGATGAGGAAGAACACAGTGAGAGAGATGGTGGCGACAAGGAAAAGTACCAGGAAGAACGCGAGGAGGATGCCGGAGCCAGCGGTGTTGTTACAAGTGAAAACGTTAGAGATGATGAGTCTACGATCTCATGATCCGCGAAATCCCTGTCACTACTGCAGCAAAAGAGAGTTTTAAGAGGACATCCAAAAACAAAAAAATCGTTTTTTACCTCGGGTGCTACTGCTGCTCGATCCAACGAAAGTCTAGACCGTCTTGTGAAAAAAATATATGTAGGTACCTTTGAGGAAGCACTCGTAGTTCGTGATATACAATACCCTGTTGCACGCGCTGCTACTACAAAACTGCCAGTAGAAGGTGATCTCCCACCGACAGCGCCTTGATGATGTGAAACAAATCTTCTTCCGTCGCGGCCGTCCACGGATACAGGACGTTCAAGTCGATGGAGTAGTGGGACGTCGGGTCTTCACCGCCTGGAACGTAGGCAACTTTAGCGAAGGCGCGGCTGTCGAACTGGGAGGGCCGGTCCATGGCCAGGAAGAAGAGCGGCATTGCGAGCTCGTGCGCGAGCTTGTTCTGCACGCCCACGGATGCCAGGTCCTTGAAATCGTCCACCAGTCGCTTGGGAATGTAGAAAAAGTCGGAGGAGCTGTGGATGAATTTAGTGTCGTCCATTGTCTCCCGGTAGGTCGCTTTGAGCTTGTCGGGCAGGTTGTATATCGTCTTCGTCACTGTTCTCTTGATGCTGCTCTTGAGAAACCAGATGGTGCCCGTCTCGTTGAAACTGTGGACTGTCCAGGACGACTTTACCTGCAATGACACCAAAGTACGTAAATCCAATGCTTCTTCTTTGCGTTTCTTTGCGCCGATATACTACTTACCTCATGCATTGTCCACAACTTTTTGTTGTTTCCTTGCATGTTCCAGTAATTGAAAACAACGTGATCTTTCAGGTATAAAAAACCGGCTGCTTCGGGGTACTTATCAAATATACCAGGGAACGATCTGCGTCACAAGCCATCGATTAGAACAACTGAAAATAAATGAAAAGTTACTTACGAGTATGCCTGCCATCCGCCTCCAACGTCTATTCCCAGCGTGGAATCAGCCTCCGTTGATATCACCACGACGTGCTTGAACAGGCGTCCATACAGCATTCGCCAAACCGGTATGTTGGACCTGCGAGGCCAGTCGCACTCCAGTATCAAAACCATATTGGCGGAAGAGCTTCGCCACTTGAGGAGATGGCCCATCTCTTTCTCGACACTGACCGCATCAGTAACGCCAGAATAAACAGGCTTGAGGATCTGAGGTAGAAACTGCCTTGATCCCTTGATCGTGTTCTCCACAGGTTGCAGCTTTGGCGGTTTGTAGCCAACTGACACAAGGTCCTGAAGCCAAGCAACGGTGAGAGCCAAGTCCTGTCCAGACCAGAAACCGTTCTTCGCCATCTCGTAGCTCAAGTCGAGAACTCTTTCGAAGAACGTACTCTTGCTCGAGTGCCACGACTTGAGAAAATCAATAAGCTGCCCCCAGTCATGTAGTAAATCTTCCTCGTCCCCAAACGTCGAGCCTTCAAGCGTGTCGAGCCGATGCACTGAAGGAGGATAGAAAGCGACGATACCACCAACGTCCCAAAGGAGCCTCTGTGCCCAGTATCCCCTGATGACGTCCGAAACGGCAGTGTGCACGGTAACTGGAAGCATCATCGCCCAGAACGCTTGCTCATGAAACAAAGTGTTGAGCGAGTTCACAGGAGCCATAGTTCCACGCGGGAGAGCCACCTCCGGAGCCAGATGATCGAACTCAATGTTGATCGGCTCCCCTGCAAGCCTCCGGGTGTGGTAGAAGATAGAATCAACGTCGGGAAGTCCATTGCCTGTTCCTTGCTGGATGAACTGGTTTCCTCCAGAAACTTCATCGTAGTAAAACTCCGGAGCGATGTCTGGAACCGACGTGAGCGAGAGCCCGCGAGGCCACACGGAACGCTGTCCAAAGTGGATGAAAGGATTCACCAGCGTCCTGTTCTTCGCCTTGTACTGCAACAGCGTCTTCCTCGGGCTCAGCTCGATATCAAACGACTTCCCAAGATGGCCACCAGCTAGAAACGTTGAGTGCGTATCAGCGTCGTAGATCCTCACAGCTCCATGCTGGATGGCGAAGAGGTAGCCGATGCTCTTCCGGACGTAGGAGTTGTAAGGCAGCAGCGAAGTGATCCTATACCGGAAGGTGGTCTGCAAATCGGTGGAGAGAAAGATCGCCCCTGGAACCAGCCAGTCCGCTGGAGTATCAGTGTCGCCTATAGCCAAGACTTGCCACCCCTGGAGCTTCACCATCCCTCTCACCTCGTCCGTGGGAGCCCCGGTCACACACAGGACGATCCAATTCTCCGCTTTCACGGCAGCAAAGCGAGCCTTGTCCTTGAGGTGATGGACTCTCCCAAAGTTGACGCTGGGATACGTGAGAACCTCCGGCTTGGCCTCGTCACACAGCGTAGAACCACCTCCTTGTCGACTGAGTAGCACCAGGAGCAACACACTGAGAAAGAATGCCGCGACGAGGAAGGCTTTGGTGGGATTGTTGGCGAAGAAATCCCCTGGAGAGCTCACGAACTCCGGCCAAGATCTCCCCACAGAAGAAGCCTGGGTATCAGGCGCCTCTGGATTCATCCCGCTGATATCGTCGTCGGATCTCGTCTCCACGACCTTGTACGCTACCCCATTCCCGAATCCATCGCTCTTGTCGCGATCGCGGCGCTGGACGTGCATCGGCGCCGGCTTCGCTGTGGTAGATCTATCCTCCTTGTCATCCAGCTCCACCTGCATTGCTCCAATCGCTGCCGGTTTGTCGCGCTCTCGTCGCTGGACCTCCATCCCGGCTAGATTCTAGTCCATTCCAGGAATTTCCCGCTGGCTCTTCGGTCTTGCCGTCGAGCGCTTCGATCTGGAAGAAATTTCTTGCTGGCGCTCCAATCTGGCCTGAGATTTTGCTCGATCTAGTCGAGCTGGCAGCTGGATTCCACGTACCTAGCGGTGCGAGCGCTTCGTTCCCCTGAAGAACCCTAGCCCTCTCTCACTCCTCGACTAGCGATTTAATCTGGGCCGTCGATCTTCCGCTAGCTAATCCACGTACGGTGGTTGGGCCGTTTGGTGGAAGCGAAAGTGATGGGTCATCACCTTGATGCGAGACGAGACGTTTTAAACTCCGAGCAATGGCGGGGCGCCACGTAGTCGCCGTACAACCACGCGCTGGATTCGTACGGTCTTCTAGGGTTCTTCCGCTCTTTACGCCTGTTAAAGCTGAATTGGAGCGTTTCGTGAATGGCGCTGGATTGGAGCTGAAGCAAAGCGCCAGCACCTGGCGGGAATTGGTAAGGCTGAGTGGCGCGTCTCTCGATTTCCCTGCGCGTTTGTGTATTTATTTAGCTCGATTCTCCCCGCCAGTGCTGTTGCATAGGGTTTGTTTCCTTCATTGTCTTCTCTCAAGCTCTTGTGCGATTGTTTTGATCTAGATCGAGCGCTCTAGCGTAGTAAATCTGCCACATTTTTGCATATATTTGGTCTCTAGCTGATTCTCTTGCAGTAAGCGTTTTTTTTTATTTTTTTGTTTTGTTTTTTCGTTTTTTCGTTTTTTTAAAAACTTGTTTTGATTGCTTGTTCTTGTTTCTCATGTTCTCATCTTAAGATTTTTCTCCCTTCGCTACGATCAAAGTTGCTAACTTTTTTGTTTGTGTTATAAGTTTAGGTGGCTTCACTACAGCCATGACCACGCCGAAGGCCCGACTTAATCAGCTCTATAGTGCCTCCGATGGGCAACCGCGGTATTTTACGTTATCTGGGAGGCCTCCTGGTTGTCCAACGCCGAAGCTACAGTCTGGATCCACATTCTACTGCAAAGTGGAGCTTCCAAATGGAACAGTCGTCGTCTCGGAGCCTTGTAGGCGAAAGAAAGATGCAGAGCAGGACGCAGCACGAAAGGCCTTGCATGAGGTAACATTCTTTTGTTTTCTCGTTTCTCTTTGTATCTTTGTTTCATTTTTCTAAAGACTTGGCTTTCGTTTTTGTAGATTGGTACGCCTTTCGAAAGCGTGGCTGCTGCTTTCAGCACCATGAAGTCGTCGGAGGAAGTCTGGATCGAACTGAAGCTTCGGATTGAAACGGCTTTCTCCAACGAGGTGAGTCCTTCCTCCTGTTTCAAACTACGCTACGCGTTTTAGAGGCATCCGGGTTTATGCTGTTGTAGTGTTAGTGCAGTGTGTGTTGAACTACAAGCCTTTGATGGAGCACTTTAGAGCAGCCATTGTCCGTAGGGGCAAGAGTCATGCACCCGTGCCAGCCACTGTTCTCGCATCCCTGGATACGAAAATCATCAGTATGTGCAAGGCTCTCGATAACATCTCGGATGGCAATCCAGCCCGCGCACTAGAGCTTGTTTATAAGGCAGCTAAGGGGTCGTCAGTCTTGGCCTGTGATGCTAACATGTGGATCAGCAGAGTGGAGCCATTTCCAGCACACGTTAAGAGTGGACTGCTGGAACAGACAACAGAAGCTTCAGTTGCCTCCGAGAAAATTCACTTTGATGCGGTCTACATACCATTTGCTCTCGACCGGACGGTTTCTGCTATACGGATAAATATCGATCCGAGTGACTACTACATGGATGTTCTAGCACGTCAGCTCGGCATCGACGATGGTGCTCGCGTACTAATCTCGAGGTATAGAAGTTTTCTTACGTGTTTCCTTATTCGGTCTGACTTTGTGTTTTTCAGATCTATTACCAAGGCTCCCTCTGGGACTCGTTTGTTTTGGCGCCTTGCTGAAAGAGATGATAAGAGTTCAGGAGTAAATATGCGGGCAAGTACGCTTACTAGCCATTCTGTGTATGGTAATGCTATTCTCGCTGCTGTCGGCTCTACCTGGAAGTCCGAAGGTCGCCTTTGCTACGACGACGTGTCGTTGGGGTGCTACTACAGGTACATTCTGAAAGTCAAACTTATTTAGTGAACTAACACTTTCACCAGGCTAGCTCTTGGAAAATCTCCATCTGGAAGCTACAAGCTTTCGAGAGGGGCTCTTTTGACGGCTGAACTTCCACCGACTTTCACATCAAAATCGAGGTGGAGAGGCTCGACGCCACGGTCTCTGCTAAACGAGTTCTGCCACCAGTCTCACCTTCTGGCTCCGACGTTCTGCTCTTACCCCGTCAAAGGAGACTCAAACGACTCATGCGCCGGATATGAAGATCACGGTTGCACAGCTGATACTTCGGACCAGACAGATCAAGCCGAGAACAATGGCAACGTAAACGCTGCGCAAGGACCGTTTCTGTGCAAGCTGAGAATGCTCGTGTGTGGTGCACCGCGGGAATTCGAGTCCGAGAGGTCATACAGGAACCGCAACGACGCAATACAGAGCGCCTGTTTGCAAGCATTGCTCTACTTCGACACTTCACTCGCTCATCTCATGAGTAGCTCGAACCAAAGCTCCGGTGAGGATGAAACAAGCAGGCAGGCTCTCTTTGAGGTTACGGAAGGAGAAGAGAAGACTTGCGACAGGCCACCTATCGGCTCCATGGTTCATGTGGAGTACAGTGCCAGATTATGTGTCGGGGCTGTTGCTATAAATGTAGAGAAGCAAAGTGACATTGAGTTCGAACTGGGCAGTGGGGCTGTGCTTGGCCTTCTCGACACATGTGTTACTGGCATGTGTGTTGGTCAGAGTGCTCGCTTCTCTACGCCTTTGCCGTCCGTCGATTTGCTGCTGGCTACTGAGAAGGTCGACGCAGCTCTTTTCCACGATGTTCTTCCAGGTACTTTGACAATTTTGGCTCCCTGAATTTTTTAGTGATACGAATGTTTTTTACTTTTTTATTTTTTGTTTCTTTTTCAGGGAGCTTGTCTCTGGAGTACACCGTCTCGTTGCTAAAATATGTGGAGGCTGCCGAAGCCAGGATGGAGTCCGCCGTGTTTTCACCGCCGCTTTCGAGACAGCGCATCGATTTTGCGCTTGAGCTTTTCCAACGGTCGCAAGCTTTATCCTTGGTAAGCCATCTCTATTTTGCTAATGATGAATGCTTAGTGTGGTTTGTTTAGATCGACTTTGGGTGTGGATCAGGGAGCTTTTTGGAAGCTATAGTAGAACAGCCAAACAGCCTGCAGCATATAGTCGGTGTGGATATCTCCTTGAGAAGCCTCACAAGAGCATCGAAGGTACCAAACGTATTACGTTTTGGTTTTTCCAATCTAACTTTGGTGCTTTTGTAGTCACTACAAGGAAAGCTAGCGAAACTCCGTGGTGCCCTGGAGAGCGTGACGTTGTATGAAGGCTCGATTGTGGAGCCAGATCACCGGCTCCATAACTTTGACGTTGCAACTTGCCTAGAGGTAATGCAAGTGTTTCATTATACACAGTTTTTCTTTCTGCTGGTTATTTTCTAGGTGGTCGAGCATATGGATCCGGAACCGTTATCAAGGTTCGGGAAGAGCATCCTTGGGATAATGCAACCGAAGGTACTGCTGGTGTCGACTCCAAACATCGAGTACAATCCAATCCTCCACGGTATAGTAACTAGAAAGGAGAAGAGCGAAGGCTTAGAGGAAACTCTAGACGCAAAGAAGGCAGAGGGTGACGAAACTGTCCGGCTTAGAAACGACGACCACAGGTTTGAGTGGACAAGGGCGGAGTTTAGCGACTGGGCCTCGGACTTAGCTTGTACATACGGCTACTCGGTAGAGTTCTCCGGTGTCGGTGGGACGCCCGGCCAAGAACCAGGTTTCGCTTCGCAGATGGCAATCTTTACTAGGACGGGAACGGGAATGGGAGTCCGTGATTCGGAGCAGCCGAAAACGGGCGAGTACTCCACTCTTTGGAGATGGTCATCGAAGGTGTGAGTGTTTTTTTTTTGTTTTGGGAGCTTGGAGCAGGGCCAGGGGATAAGAATTTGGTGGTTTTTTTCCCAGCGGTCAATTCTGATAGCTTCAGCTCGGCTGGACCAGTGTCCGATTGAAATCCACGAATTTGATACGGAGGTATGGATGGAAGTGTCTTTTTTTTCTTTTCTTCCTTTTGTAACGTGGAGAAAAGCGGCAGGGTTTTCGCGTCAGCGTCGGCGATTAGCGAGGAAACAGGTGGTGTCTGTCTATGGATTGACAGGGGGAGAGCATTGGGGGCGTTTGGTGGAGGAATGGGACTGCGAAGGAGAAGGGAAAAGAGGTGGTGTTTACGTAAGACTTTGCTCGATCATTGGCGGCAGCGCTGCAGGATGCTCGGTAATTATCTCATCTGGGGGGCGTTTTTTCAAGCAAATAATCTTGGGTCGCTTTCTCGTGCGAAAGCAGCCGTATGCGAAGGGATTCCCGGCCATGAGATAATTGAAAAAAAAAAGGAAAAAAAAAATTGAAGGAAAAAAGTAAACCGATTCTATGATTCGCAAGACCAGGAAAGAATGAATGTATACAACGATCTGATCAGCGGAGGGCACGGTACGGTACGTACATTTGCCTCCGTCCGTACGGAGAAGAGAACACTCTCAGTACGGGAGCAATGGGGTGAGCGTACGGGAGAATCGTGAGCATAAAATTCAAGGCCGTGTGACACTGGATCTGACACGCTGATCCAAAAATTTCTTCCAGAAAATGATTCCTTCGCGAGGGATGGGTGTGTGCTCTGGTTGCTGGGCCGATCAGAGCACCCATTCTTTCTCGAAAGCGCTCTCTCTCTCTCTCTCTTTCTCTTTCTCTTTCACTCCGTGCTGCAAGTGAAAGCTGTGAGGATCCAAGCTGCATTGACAAAAGAGCCCCCCTTTCCACGCCAAAAAAGAGATATAATCTCTAGGCATTCACCGTTGCGAGATCCGCGATCGGACGGCTGGCGGGCCAACTTCGATTGTGGGCCGTCCGTTCTGGTGCCCGGATCCAACGGGCGCGGTATCGCTATCCCGCCAGTCGGGTGCGTCATCTTTCTTGACTATGTTGTGTTTTGTGCTGGATTGCGATTGCGTTTCGTGCCACTGCCTGCCACCTTTTCTCTCTTCTCCGTGTCTAATCCGGCTTAGTGGCTGCCTATTAGCGCGCCCCGGATCCATTTTTTCTTCCTGACACAAAAAGGAAGAAAAGAAGGAAAAATAAAAACACCTTTGATGCGATAGATTTCGCTGTCGGCGACGTTGATGCCCCCGCTTGCATGTTCATCTCTTGGAAAGTTCACGAGCAACTTTTAAAGTCGAGGGCGCTGGCCAGGGAGCTACTAGAACTGTGCTTAACCAAGCAAACGAGAATCCATTTTAGTCCAACATCTCTTACGCACCTCTTGACGAAGAGGAATTCTCGTGAGTTTAGTCGCCTGGTCTTTCGCTTCTAGTCTCTCCCACTGTCAGGATCCTTCAGCTTAGAAACTCCACGCTTGTGTCTCCCATTTCAAATGCATTCGCTGCGCCACTATTGACTCTTGCAAATCCGTGCAGGCACACTCTCCTCCTCCTCCTCCGGTAATCCTGCTGAAGCAATAAGCAACGAGTAAGCAAAGTTCACACCAAGTCTCTCACAGTCACTTTCGCAAAGGCTTACTTAAATTCCACGCTCTCGCGGACTCGGAGTCATGTAAGTATGAGCGCGGACTCGCAGTTGTGCTCTCTGTCCCGGCAGAGAATTCTCCTCCTCTTTATAACATACTCGTGGTACTGATATCAAAGGATGGCCGCCTCCATGGGGATTGTTTTTGCAGACAAGGACGAGGATGGGGCGGGCTCCATGTTGCGAAAAAGTGGGACTCAACAGGGGCCCCTGGACGAGAGAGGAGGATGCTCTCCTGATCAAGTATATTACCGCACACGGCGAAGGATCCTGGCGTACATTGCCGAAACAAGCAGGTATTAAGCCAGTCAATTTTGATGAATTCACTTACATACCTTACGCTCATGATTGTTTTTTTTTTTTTTGTTGCACAGGACTGAGACGGTGTGGTAAAAGTTGCAGGCTGAGGTGGATCAATTACCTCCGGCCTGATCTCAAACGAGGAAACATCACCGAGGAGGAGGACGAGCTCATCATTAAGTTGCATTCGCTGCTTGGTAACAGGTAAAAATGGAGAGCTGCTTGAGTTTCTGCTGGCTTGCACTGGACTGAATTATCATGTCTTTTCCTTGATCTCTCTCATTCTGAAACAAATTCGAGTTAGTCTCTCCGAAAAATGCATCAATTTTGTACCACATGCTAAGATGCTTTGTCCAAAAGTCTGAATTTCTAAATCCTGATCCATGGTTTCATATTATCTGCAGATGGTCACTGATCGCGGGCCGGTTAGCAGGACGCACGGACAACGAAATAAAGAATTACTGGAACACTCACCTCAAAAAGAAGCTCCGTAGCATGGGGATCGATCCTCACACGCACAGGCCTCTGGAAGAAGTGGAACAGGAGGCCATGCAAGGAAGAGGCTCTTGTTCCTGTCAGCGGAGCAAGAGCACCAATGCAGGATCCTCGTCTTCGTCCAGTGACCACCATCATCGGCCACCACGCGGAAGGCCCAGCCAAAGAGGTAAAGTCTCGTTCCACAAGCTGCTCACAGATGACCACGAACACGGCTCTCTCGATGCTGACGTTGGAACATCATCCGCAAGAGGACCCCCTGCATCCCCGGCGAGTATGTTTTCTCATAATAGTTCCTCCACAGTCCAGGACCACACCGATAACCAGCACGGTGTGGCGGCTTCCGTCGCTAGAACTGCCGGTCCAGGTGGTTTCAACTTCGCAAACTACTGGGACCAGACGCGGGGCTTGCAGAGTTCCTTCAACTCAGCAACAATGAGCTCGTCTTGCACGGACTCTGTTGTCATCAGCAGCAGCTATTTCCCACGTCCCAACAGCGAGTTCCTCAGCATTCCTTTTGAGTATAACCCGGTGAATGTGGACTGGGAAGGCAACGGAGTAAAGACCGAACAGGAAGTTCTGTTCTCGGAGTCCGATAACGTTCATAGAAACCAGGAAGGTTTTAGTTATGCCTTTGTCAATCCTCCCTCCAATGTTGATCACGGCATATGGGACGTGGACGTTGTTCGTCAAATGGAGGACATGGATCCAGCCATGCTCGTTGGAGACCATCATGCACAGGCAAGTGCCCCTCAAGAATACTGGGAGCACCATCCATATAATCCAATCCCAAAGACCGACATGAGTCTCTGGCCTGGCAAAGAGAGTAACACACGGTGAGTGTCCTAAATTCAATTGGAAAGGAGGATACCTGTCTCATTCATTTTGATCGTGATTCTGTAGCAAATCACGCAAGTGCCAATAAGCATAACACGATCATATACTTGATAAAATATAGGCGGTACCAGCAAACGCAAGAAAAGTCACTACACCCTGTAACGCTAAAGTCGCCATTAGCAAAAGAAGACCTTTCAAATTCTACAAAAAATCTTGCATTCTTCTTCGCAGAAGCACAAAAGCTTGTTATCGAGCCATGCAATGTATTTACGTGCACTGGCTGTAAAGCTAGCATCGCCACCTGTGCAGTGTGAACCGCCCATTAAGAGATGACAGGACAAAGAAAGAAGCACACACCTTATCTACAATTATAGAGCAACGATGAGAGCCTCAAAAATCTTTTCCTGAGTCAGATTTGATCCACGTTGTCACAGGTTCCTCGACATCCTTTTGTGCTGTTCCATTTCCATTCTCGTGCAGCAAAGGATCCTGCTCCTGCTTCATCACCTGTAGAGACAATATCAAGCCTCTGAACAAACCAGCTTCTGCATATACCTGAGGAAGAGTTGTCGCAATTTCGTTTTGCTTTAGCTGGTTTTCTAGAACGCTAACGTAGGAGTAGACACCCATTCCCACCACCGCCACCGCAATACCAAAAATGTTTTTCCAGCTGAAAGGATTTTGCAGCAGAATGTACCCGAAGGCCAAAACGAGACACGTCTTAAGGTGGCCTAAGACTTGGTAAGTCACCGGCGACGTCTTCCCTATAACAAGGAATGTGCTGAAGTTCACAGAAACGGAAATCAAGCAAGAAAGGATGATGAATAGCTGTAAAGGCAAAGAAAAAAAAAGGCGTTTCATAGGCGGATAAAAAGCATGTGCTTACCAGAACTTTGTAGGTGTAGTAGAAAGCGAACACATTTTCCCCAGTAAGAAGGCCATCCAAGAAAGGACCAGTAAGTATCAACGTTGTAGCTTGGTAAGGGCAAGATTGGTATAGTAGCTGCGTGGACGAAACTTTGAACTTTTTCTGAATAGTGTTGGTCATCTGACGCAAACAAGAACGTTAAGGAGATCCCCTGGAAAACGCACAAACTCAGGTGAATCAAAAGGATACGATCTGCGCAACACAAGTCGTGACAATCGCGAAGACGGATAAAACAGAACCAAGAGCGTTAAGCTGGAGATCTGTTATGGTGGCAATTCCCACACCAACGAGAAGTAGCAGCAAGGCAAGCTGAATGCTTTTACTGCAACAAGTAAACCATCATAAGCCACCGACGAGACAAAGGCAACCACAGTTACCTGAAAACTTTCCGTAAGAACACCGTCTCCAAAAGCACTGTGCAAGGAATGATCGCGAGTTTGGTCATCTGCACAACAAAAGAGCTAAAAAACGCGTTCCTTGGACTTCACGAATAAGGTGGCACAAAGGAAATTATTCTTGCCTGGTAGAATCCAACCGAGTTGAAGCCAAGCGTGAGATTGAGGAGGCCAATCGAGATGCCGTTTAGAACGCCGAATCCCATCACAGTTCTCGCATCGAACGGCTTGTGCTCGAAGAGCTTCAGCCAGCGAGCGACGTGGAGGGAGCAGTACGTGACGAGCAAATGCCAGCCAGTTAGCGTGGTCGCTGTGATACCACCCAGATTGTACGAGAAAGATTAGAACACACAGAGGAAAGAAAGAACACAAAGAGAAATCCAAGAACAAAAGAGCAATGCACTTACCAAAGTTAAATCCCAGCGTAGTGATGAGCGCCTTGTTGCAAATTACAATGGCCACGGATGATATCACCGAGAGGCCGAGCGCTCCCACCGTGCCGATCTGCGGACCCTGTTTGTCTCTCATCTCCTCCTCCTTCTCGCTCATTGGCGCCTGCAATGGAAAATCGAGAGATTATCAACCCGCATTCCAAGCTAGGGCCGAAATTCCACTATTGCGCGACCTAAGGAGAGATCCAGGCGCGGGAGCTCCTCTCAATCTAACCTAGAGCGAGGCATCAATCAAGAAGCGCGTGGCAGAGATATTTCGATCGAATCCGCGAGCGAGCGAGAGAGAGATTGCAAGAAGAGGCGGAGAGGAGGAGAGATTTCTTACAAGATCTCGAGCTCCAGCTGGGGATTTGGAGGAAGCGCCCGTGGCAGCGGCAATGGGGACAAGCCCGAGCGCCTTGGATCCGCCCCTGTGACCAGTAGCTGGCTTTTCCGCCTTCCCTACAAGAGAGAACGCTGATCACAGCAGAGATAGAGACAAGCCTACACGTTAAATGCCGCATCGCCTAGGGTATATTCCTTCCCGGAATATACGCCGGACTTACTGTTACAGACGTCGACGTAACGCCAATGGGCTTTAAACCTGGGACTTCCGGCTAGGGTTTACATAGGGTTTTAGGTTCTAGGGTTTCTTGGGCGCCGCCTTCTTCCGGCGCCTTCTCTCTGCTGTGATGCCATTGATTTTACATGTTAGACTATGGAGATGGATTCAATCCATCGCTGAGAACAACGCACTCGTTGCCTGAGCAGAGATTTTCTCTTTAGTTTTTCCATTTCTTTTTTAGTTTGGAGGAGATGATGATTCGATTTGGTCCGTGTTTCTGAAATTGCAGTGACGAAACACATCGTTGTGGCTGATCCTCCATTGTGTTGGTTCTGGAATTATTTGTGGACCCAAGTGTGGATTGCGTGGTTGAACTGGGTGGATTTCGTGTGGAGGCTGTCGTGGATCCATTTCGTGAACTCTTTGGCCGCGTGTTCGTCCGAGAGGTTGAGCAGCATTATGTCGTGCATGTAGCGGACGTCTGCGGGGCTGGAGACTTCGCTCAGTCCGCTAGAAATCATCTGTGCAAGAGTAAAACTTTCACAAACTATGGTGGACAAGTCTAAACAAAAGCAGCCACCATACCAGAGACATTAGATTAAGATACTTTGTAGCCTCTGCTCGAATTTGGTTGAAGGCTTGAGCACAGAGTATCTCAAACGACCGGAAACGAGGGTCATGTGTGCCACCCATCACGAACGCCATGTCGGGCGTCAGCTGAGACCACATAGAAAAATCCAGCTTTTAAACACGAAAGATAAAACAAAGCTGGATGTCTCATACCACGAAGCGTGCACGCTCCCTCTTGATGCCAAACTTCGACTTAAAATGTCCCAAGATGTGCCCGAAATCGATATCTACAAGCACGAAACACCCGTGAACGAGAAAAGATGGATGCAAACAAAAAACAAAGATTGGATGCAAACAAAAGAGATGAGAACGTACGAAAAAACTGGCCGTTTCTCTTGAGCATGATATTATCGTTATGCCGATCGCCTATCCCAAGCAAGCATGTTGCAACGCAATATCCAGCGCAAGATCTCGTGAAGTTATCCAGTGCTCCTTTATAGTTTTCTCCTGCAGGAAAAGCCATTTCGCATTAACAGCCCAGGCGATAGACTTGAGAGCTCACCAGTCTGCGTTTCATGCATGAGCCAGTTGATAAGAGTATCCTCTTTGAAGACAGCCACTCCTCCGCCAGAAGCCTTCGAAATCGTAGTTACAATCGAGAGAAAATGAAGACATGTAAAAGCAACAATCAAACTAATGTCTACCTTGCAGATGTTGGATAAAGTCTCCGAGTTCCAGACGACTTGTAGCATTCCACTACTATCGCCGGTAGCGACGCAACTGTAGATTGTCATTTTCATATCCAGGTTGTGCCTAAGCCATGTCTGAGAAAAAAAGCACTCGAAAAAAAAACATGAGGTATCGAGAGACTCCCACCTTGTTCATGAGGCTAAACATTTCCAGCGTAAGTATGTCTTGACGAAGGTCGTCGCCAGTCTTGAAAATAATGTAAGTGTGCTCTTCCACACTACGGTCCGTGTTCTTGAATACCAGCCAGAGAGGAAGCTTTTTCGAATCCATGTACTTGCATTTCGTCAGTTCCAAGCCATTGACCTCACACCTGAAAAGAATCCAATGCGTGTTAGCTACGTGATCGGCACGTCTCCCATGTGAGGAGACTAAACTAAGGGAGAACAAAAACAAAATTAAGCAGTTACCTGGGATCTACCGGCAACGCGACGCTTTCAAAAGATTCGAGCTCCGAAAGCAAAGAGATAAGTTGCTTCTGACGCTCGGCCTTCTGTTTGACTTGCCTTATACCACGAGCAATGTTGGCTAATGAGAGTACCAGCTTCTCTTGCTTCGAGAGAGCTGTCATAACGTGTGACTTACAAGTCTTTCGGAACTCATTCATTGCAAACTGAAGCTTCACTGCGAAGAAGGCAACCTCCAAGCCGGCCTAAAAGAAGTTCGACATGCTATTGATTAAATATTCACAATATCCACAAACAAAACGACGACAAAATGCCAAACCTTGATGTGCCAGTACAAATAGTAACCGAGCGATTGGTCCACCGAAGCTTTGTTGACGAGGAATTGCAAAAGAGCGGACTCTATCCGTGGCTCGTAATGTAATGCCTGTTACACAAAACTTCAGCTAATAATGACGCTTGGTTTAAGTGTACCTGAACTAGCTGCACTAAGAAAGAGCAGATCTCCTCATTCGAAAGGTTTTCCAGTACAGAGACTGCGTAGTTACGAACAGCAGGATCTCCAAATTGCGGACCAAGTAGCTGTATGTGTGCAAATAGAAAAATTCAATGCAAGGCGATTTTCTGGAAAACACCTGTAAAGCTGTGTATGGATCCAGTGGTTCCCATTTTGCCAGCAACCTGGAAAGATATGGTATTGAGCAACGTGCGAAATAACTTTTCAGCTTGCCTTCGTGCTTCCATAGCGTAAATATACTTTTGCCATGGGACCGATTGCAGAAACCTTGACAAGGCTCTGGGATTGTTCTTGATAGAATAACGGTACCTCCAAAGGATCGACTTTTGTGGTTCCGACGGTACAGAAAAAACATCTGGTATGAGAGAAAAGATAATAAGGGTGAAGCCAAACACAAAACATACCATAACTATCAACGCAAAGAGCAATGTGCTTCTTCTCTTCGGTGCTTGGGAGTAAGTCACAATCGTCTGAAAAGTTTGTCAAACGACGCCTATCAACAACCCAAAACGTGGGAGAAATGTTTTCAGATACGACACAAAGAGCTCCGGATCTTCGAGCGTACTGGTAAACATTGCTTGTCCTTCGTCCTCGTCTTCCCTCATCTTTAGGCTGAAAGGATAGAAGCATTCGTCAAGTGAAACGACCAGAATAGCAATATAGTCTTCCGATATATTTTCTGGCACAGTTCCTGTAAAGCAGCAGGTAGAGAGATCAGGATTCGTGGACAAAACAACATATCTTACCACACGTGTAATACGGTGGATCTTTCCACAACCTGAGATGTTTCACCTTTGAATCAACAGTTCCATAATCATCAATAAAACGATAATTGGCCCAGCCGACTAGCTTTGAGATCAGTTGACAGTCCCTCTGATGCCCGGAGTAGACAGCAAAGTTGAGAGAAGCTACCTGATGAAAGACAATAATTATCACGTTAGTAAATGGTGAAATGAGCTGCACCTCTGGAAGATCGAAAAGAAGTATTGGAAATGTCAGAATCTCGTTCCACTGAGGATTAATGCTCTGTGCGACAAACGTCGTCGACAGCTCCAAGTTTGTCGCTAGACGCTGGCTACCATGGTATCTTTTCGCGAGTTAAAGTCACAGAATGAGTAAGGACCAACAAAAAGGATACAAGCTTCCAATCACATTCATGTATAGCATTTCGTCACTTTCTTCGAAAACGCCATCCTTGAACCAGCATTCTTTAACGTGGACATGCAGATAAGTTCTGCGAAGAAGCGGTGAGCTGAGCTGCTTAGACAACAGACAAGGCGTAAAATGAAAACGAGCTTACAACCGCAATAAGAACTTACGATTTGGCTGCCTAAATTTTAAGTGCGTTGTCCACGTTTTTCTCATAGGACTGAATTTGTACCTTTGCATAAAACTCTGGCTTTTGATGTGAAATCTGTAAAAGCTTGAAAATGAGAGGCTGCATCATGATGAGCAGAAGTCTCGGAATGTCTACCTCTTCGAATTTCAGCTTTGCCTCCGCTTTCTGTGTTACGGGTGATACTGGTGCTGGAGGCTCTCCTGACACAGCTGGGTCCAGCACTAGATGAACAACTAAAGGCTTCTTCTCGTCAATGCAGCTCTGGACGAAGCTGTTAATCAAGTAGCTTGTAAGAATGGAAAGCAACAAAAATGGAAAGCGTGGCAACAAACTTACGTACTATCGCACATTCGAGATTTACACGCCTCGCTTGCATCCAGATAAATCCCGAGACTACCCTGAAAGCCCGCATGAACACCAGTCAAAAGTTGTGGGGCTATACCAGTCTCAACGTGTACTCGGACGCCAGATGCCCCTCCTCCGCCTCGTCACAGTTCATAAAGAGACGATCTCTTACGTCGCGCACCAAGTCAGATCCTGGAGATTAAAACGCAGCTCCACAGCGAACATGAGAGAATTAAAACCTTTCATACCTTGGACGAACATGACAACGCTGGTGTCTCCGCTGGGAAAGTAGCACTGGCACTGAATCCTCTCTTTGTCGTACTTATTCAATGCCGTGCTGCTGATGCCATGTTCCTTACTGCTTGCCAAGTTCAAGTTGTCAGCCTTTCCTCAACAGTACGTATGCAAAATTGTTTACCAGTTGAGCTTAGAAATGAAAGAAGTCATGCACGAAGAAAAAAGTTTCTCCACCTTGTTGCAGCGGCAGGCCTTTCATCCAGCTCCGGAAGAGAGCTTTCTCCTACCTATAGAACAAAAAAAGGATCAAACTTAAGCAACAAACGAAGGATAAAACTCAAGCCACGCAAAACAAAGAGCTGGAAGAGAGCATTCTCCTACCTATAGAACAAGACCACGAAAGCAAACTGGATCAAACTTAAACAAAGAAAAGCAAAAAGTTCGTGCTACCAACCGATATTTTGACACCATACTTGGCGCAGGATTCCTGGATGCGCTGCAACCACGCTTGCGACTGGTGAGCGCTGTTCGCGCGCAGAAAATACCTCTGCCGCTGCCCTTGCTCGTCCAGCGCGACGATCTCGAAGCCCAGGCCACCAGACTGCCCCAAATGCTCCATCTCCCGGACATTTATGACGCCCTCCGCATCGCGAAACGTGGAATCCTCACCTGGCAGGCACAGCAGATCCCCAGAGGCCGCCATCAGGACAAAGAACCGCCGCTCCCAGTCCGCATTCCCTAGCTTGAGCTCCAGGGCGCCAGAGAACGCCGCCCCCTCCAACGCCATACCTTAACTTAAGCCCTAATTTCCAGAATATCCCTAATTCAAACCACCCGCCCCCGCGCTATTTTTCAAATTTCTTGATGCCCCCGGATATTCTGGAATTTAGGGCAAGAGGAATTGGTTGGAACGTTTACATCGGCGTTCTGTTAGAAGTAAAGAGGGCGCTCTGGCCGTGTGTGCTGATATTTAGTTACAAGGAAGTGGCATGGTTGCCATGTCCATGTCGGCCATAGCCCTTTACACCCTATCACACCGGGATCTCCGGATCTAGGGAGATTCAACCGCTCTATTCAATGATTCGCTAGCTCGCACCACTTTCACACCTTGGAGGCTTATAAACTTTCATCCCATATGGTTGGCCTAGGGCATCTTGTCCATGCTTGTTTTCTTGCTGGTTGTTTGTCCGGGAGAATCTATTGACCGGATGACTTGCAAGGGGAGGAATCATAGTTTTCATCTCCCCAGAGATTCCCCTAGCTCTGGAGGGATCTCGATAGATTATACCAATCACTGACCACCACCACCACCACCACCCAAATACAAACACAAAGATTGTCTCTCCAAAGCTCTCTTCTTTTTTGCTTTTTTGCCATTGCATTTGCCCCGCCTTGGCATCTGTGTATGTAGCCACGGCGCGCCAATCATTTGGCAATGCCGTCCCAGTCGTGGGCAGCAAAATCTTTTTGTTTCGTCCTCCCAGGCCGGGCTCCCCGCGCGGGATTGATGGCGGGCTTTCGATTTGTAATGCGCCAGGATTGTCTTAGGGCGCCACCCTTTCGGGGAACACTCGCAATGGATTGATCTGCCACTGCGCCACCTTGTCGATTCATCCCCTCCCCAGGAGCCAACAAACACAAAATTCCCTTTCCTTGATCACAGTGTCGTCCATGAATGCCATTGATGCCATACCCATCCATCCCATCCATACCCATCGCCCATTCATCCATGACGTGCAATGCCATGCCTACCCCATCCCCATCCCCATCCCCATCCCATCCCATCCATCCCAAGAACGTTCTTTCGGTTGCGCCAGTTGGATAGACATGCCATGAATACAAAAGACGTATGCTTCCCACGTGGAGGCGCCGGTCAAGAGATCTAGACAGGAATACCACCACGATTTTTTACAAGTTTTTATACCACTACTACTACGGGCCAGGCCCAGAGAAAGATGGTGGGCGGTAAATTGGAAACTTTACCCTCTTCCAATAACCACGTCTCAAATGGCTATTGCGACCACGCCCCTGTGCACTGACGAGCTAAAAAGCCTACCTCCAACACTAAATTCTTGCCACTACGTACGCCTTGCGCCTGGCGTATATTTACCCCCGGTACCGAGAATGTAGGGCGTTTGAGCTTCCGAGACCGGCCGTATCTCTACGCAGCGGTGGCGTCACTGCATTGTACTTGGGGCCGTATGGTGTGGATGACGCATGGGATGGGACATGGCCTACGTCAGGCCTCCTTGGGGAAGAACCACGTAGGGTGGTTTTTGGTCGTCGGGAAAGAAAGGTCTAATCTTCTTTCTATTCTTCGCCAGTCTTCGCAGCGTCCAAGGCCCACGACCCTACGACGACTAAGACTACTAGTACTGCTACCATTGATATACGCTACGAATACGGGACGTACGTGTCGCCGTTTTTATGAGTAATTTGTCGGGTTTTTCCCAACTCACGTGCCCGGCAATCATGAGGGGCGTGACGTCAGCGCCAGCTTAGCGTCATAATTTCGTTCGTTAAGCTCGATGCCATGCGATGCGAGCGCGATGCGGATGCGGGTTTTTCCGCGCCTAGTTACGTCAACGCTGACGGAATATGTCCCGAGTACAAAAGTATTTTCTTTTTTGCTTTGTTTGGGTTCGAATCTCCCCCCTGGAATTTTTCACGAGATGAGAACTAAAAGAGTTATACATCTACCGTTAGTTGGCGGGTAGTCATCGCCGAGAGTATGGAGAGGTTTTTTGTTTGAGTGAAGGACTGACAAAGGCCATAGAGAAATACTCTGCGTGGTCCATCCAAAGAATTGGACAGAGAGAGATTCGCGCACGATGGGAGGGATATTCGGTGGGGTTTTGATACCATTTAATCCATGTGGCGTGCCTTGAATGGCTTTTGCAATGAGCCAGGAGGCAAATCATAAACTATGCGCAATGGCAAATGCCATATGGTATGGCAATCTTCGTAAGAATATAAAGAAACAAAGTGAGAAATTTGTTGAGAGTGGGATTCGAACCCACGCCCTTGCGGACCAGAACCTTAATCTGGCGCCTTAGACCAACTCGGCCATCTCAACTTTACACTCGCTTAAAAAGGTAGCAGCCTTTATCAATCGCCCTTTTCGAAAAGGTGGCAAACTAAAGATTAGGTGGTTAACATAACAGGAAACAGTTACATTAAAAGGAAGAAGAACAAAGTTTGTGTTTCTTTGACCCCTGTTTACCGACAAAAACTGCTCTTTCAGTTTCTCCGGTGCCCCGAATATCCGTCTCTTAGATTTCCCTCCAGATCGACATCAAAACCGTGAAGAAGCAAAAGATTCCACGCCAAAAGGTGGAACACCCCTCCCTTGGATCCACGGCGACGAGCTTCACGTTGCCGGAGAGACCTTGATCGCCATGAGCGGCACGTCTTTGCCATTGTCAATGCAGCTGTCACTGCCATTGTCCTCCTCGTCCTCGTCCGAGTCCAAACACCCCAGCTCGAACACCTTGGAACCCCCGTCGATAGAATTCGCAGCTCCAATCTTCCCGGAGCTGGAAGGAGTGGAGGAATTGCTACTCCCAGTGAGCTCCTGCGCCCTAAACGCCTGGAGCTCCCAATCCGTGCGCCCCACCGCAAAGAGCATGAGCACCAGGCAAGAGCCCTGCGCCGCCAGGAGCCCAAACCATAGCCCGACAAACCCCACATCCAGCGCAAACCCTAGAAGCATCGCCACCGGCATCCCCACAAAGTAGAAGGAACCAAGATTGATGTTGGCCCCCAGTGTCGGCCTCGCGCTCCCGCGAAGCACGCCGCAACCCGTGGTCTGGGGACAGTTCCCAATCTCGCACATGCCGACCACCGGCATGGCCGCCGCCACGAGCTTCAAGATGGCGGCGTCGCGGGTGAAGAGCGAGCCCCAGACGTGGCGCATCCCGACCGTGAAAGACATCGCCACGAGCCCCAGCACGCCAGCGCAGCAGAGCGCCACGTGGGCCGCTGTCCTCGCGCCGCGTGGATTGTTGGCGCCCAGCTCGTTCCCGACACGTGTCGAAACCGCCAGCCCCAGCGAGCTGGGGAAGATGTAGACCAGCGCGGTCGTCTGGATGAGGACGCCCATGGTCGCCACGGCAGCCCTAGCGTTGACCAGTAGACCGGAGAAGATGATCATCAGCTCATACCACCACCACTCGAGGCACACCGAGATCGCGCTCGGGATCGCCAGCGCCAGGAGTGGCCTCCAGTCGCGCAGGCAATCGCGGGAGATCCCCGGCCAGGAGAGCTTGTAGATCCCCGACGCGATCACGTAGAGCAAGAGGACGAGGACGAGCGTGAGATTGGTGGCGACGGCGGCGAGCGCTACGCCACGGATGCCCAGGCCGAGGTGCGAGACGAGCAAGAGGTTGGCCGGGACGTGGAAGCAGATCGCGACGGCGGCGGCGATGGAGATCGGCAGCGTGATCTTCTGCGTGCGGAGGTAGACGCGGATCGGGTTGAGCAGCGCCTGGATGAGGAGGTCGGGCAGCGAGAAGAGGAGGTAGTTGTGAGCCATGGCGGTGACGGCGGGGTCCTGGCCGCAGAAGTTGAGGATGCGATTCATGTTGAGCCAGAGCAGCGCGATCGGGAGGCAGGAGCAGGAGAGGAAGACGACAGAGCGCTGCAGCGTGAGACCCATGAGCTTCCACTTGTGGGCGCCGAAGGCTTGGCCGCAAATGGGCTCCATGCCCATGGCCAGGCCTGACAGAACCGAGTAGCCTGTGATGTTGGCGAAGCCGATGGCGAGCGATCCGCCCGCCAGCTCCAGCTCGCCCAGGTGGCCCAGGAAGAGCATCGAGATGAGCGAGCGGAGGTAGACGAGGATGCCGGTGACGACGGTGGGGCAGGCGATGGATCCCATCTGCTTCAGCTCGCGGGCAACCTGAAAAGAGCACGATCAGATCAGTACCAATGTAAGAACAACTCAAAAACAAAGCTTGCAGCAAATGCCTAGACCCGGCATCTACAGTAAATCAAGGAGTTGACTTGTGGTTGTCACTCCAGGCAATCAGAAAACAGTTTCACGGCATGGCATACGACTAAAACGCAAAGATAGTGACAGCGACAATGCAAAACAAGCGATTGGAAACAGGAAACCAGATGGAACATCAAACGACAAGCCACAAGCAATGCGGATGGATGCGAGAGGGACACGAAGAAAGGCAAGAGAGATTTAGAAGGGAGAGTGAGACCTCTGCCGGTGTGGGCCACTGCGAGTAGCCGTCGAAGTCGTGGGCGAAGAATCCCGAGATTTGGTGCTGCTTGGTGCTGTCAGGGTCAAGCTTGGAGGAGGGGACATTCGGCTGCCGCATTGTCTGCCCGAATTGATCCGCGCCGGCAGCGTTGCTGAGGCTGCTGTTCTTGGCGCCGATCTTGTGCTGCTCCTGCTCCAGCAGGGGCATGTCCACAACACTGTGGCTCATGATCAACCTTGGCAGCTCCGCAAAGCGCTGGTGGTCGCTGTTGGCGACAGTGGCGTTATTGTTGCTGTCGGATGAAGGAGCCATTCGAGCGGCGATGCTGGACTCGGGGGCGGCGGCGACGGCGGCGCCGGTAGCCGTGGTGGTGGTGGTGGTGACGGTGGCGGAATCAGGGAGATGATCACTCGACTTGCACATGGCTGAACTGCCCGTGGTGATGACGATCTTGAGGGCTTACCAAAGGAGAAAAGGAATAGATCGAGAGGACTGCCTTTAAGGGAAAAGGAAAGCCTTTCCTCCTTCCTTTTCTTGCTTGATTCTTGCCAAAGTTCTTCCTCCCTTTTCTCTCCTCCTTCTGGTTTGTCTTGGCTCCGCCTCCTCGCCGCTTGCAACTTTGTTGTTTTCTTGTGCGCAGAAAGCAATAAATCAGCAGAGCAATCAATCAGAGCTATTGGTGGTGGTGGTAGCAGAAAAAAACACCAGAAACAGAGGGACAAAGAGAAGAAGAATTGGAAAATATCACACAGACACACACACACACCCACACTCGCACAAACACACACACACACCCCCTCACACAGAGCCACACACACTCACACAATGCACACCATATACAATTCCAAAAACCCTTTTCCCTCAAAGATTTGAGCACAAACCAATGGGACCCCCAACACAGGCCAGTATGGGCAAGTGCTGCAAAAAGCTAGAGACAGATGCTGGAAGAGAGTGCTGCTTCCCAGCCCCAGAAGAATGCTTGGTAGAACACAAACAATGCCCAGGCCATGAGACTCACAGCCAAACGAAAAAGAGAGAAATAAGAGCTACAGAAGCTACAGAATTGAATGCAAGATGCCCAGTGAAGGCAAATGTGGCATCTCCTTTTCAACAGGAAAGATCTTGCTTGATGCTCTTGCTCTCTCTCTCACACACACACTCAGTGGAGATCAATCCAAGCAGTAGATTGTGTAGGGTGGGGTTTTCTCTCCTTTTTCTTGCTCTCCTCTTCCAGTGGCGAGTGAAGAGATGAAGAATATAGAGTGATCTTTGCTTGCTGTTCCAATAATGGAAGACACAGCGAGCAGTGTATTTATAGTGTAGGGGGGACATCTACATGATACATGATGGTAAATGTTACCATGATATCATAACATTATGATGATGGATGTTCATGATAGAGATGGCATGGTGGACATACATGATACATAGCCATGGATTTGGGGACAACTAAAGTTAAAAAGAAACAATGGATGGATATAGGCTAGGGAACAATGGATCATCCGTATAGTCCTTCATTGAACTATTTTTCTCCCCAGGAAAAAAAAAAAAAAACTTTGGCTTTTTTTTTGTTTTTTTTATTTTGGTCCATCTTCCAGTTGACAAAGGTCTAGAAATTCCCAGAGCACAAGGGATCTTGTGCACGTGTGATGGGCTGGAATAAACTCTTTTTTATCGCCCAAAAGGAGAAATTCGTATAAAATTCAGCCACATCTCTTTGGAAAAGGGGGAAGATCTCAGTAACACTGATGGGTGGACGTTGTGCATAACAAACCATGTCAACAAAACAAACAAACACTAGATGGATGGAACTATCCAAGAATCTTTCAGACAACCTCTTCAAACAAGTGGCACGAGCAGGAAGGAGCCCGCAAAGTTGGCAGATTTGTAGCCAACCCTAAAATAGTGGTGTTCTCCAGCGTACGAGTTGAGCAAGATCCAACCCTCTGGATCATATCCCACGATCACAACACACTGCCACGCACAAGTCCTAGGGACCGTCCCCTCGATCGAGTTGGCATCCATGCACATAATCACCGGATAGGTGCTCACCAGCCGCTTGATCTCGGGGTCTCCTAGGTTTGTAAACTCGACAAATCCGTCAACTTTGGGAACCTCGTCACCTTTCCCTGGATTGTAGCTCAACATCCTCATCACCGATCCCAAATCCTCTATAAGATTAACCGAGCAAGCCGAAGAAGATCCAATACTTTTGCTAGCCTTCACGTTTTTAAGCAAGCTCGCCATCGAATTAAGCGGCTCTATCGTCTTGACCATGGTGTTTAGTTTTCGATGGGCTTCCGCGCAAATCCTGGTGGAAGAGACCCACGTGTCCAAGCAGTAGTGGCCCATACTTGCCGGGAACACGCCCCATTCTTGCCAGTTTATCCGGGGACACGAATCACTACTACTACTAGAAGAAGAATCTTTTGTCAAGAAACTCAGTGCCGCTGGAGCGTCTAGAAACACCTTGTCGATTTTCTTACCGCTATATCGGCAAAATAGTGACTCAAATGAAATCTCCATTCCCTAACCCTTCAATTTCCAAGCTTGCCTTTAAAAGACAAAAAAACTAAAGTTAAACCTAAAGAGAAGAGTGCGTTAGCCGGGAGTCGAACCCGGGTCTATTGCTTGGAAGGCAATTATCCTGACCGTTGGACTACTAACGCAAGTGATGATAGCAATTTCTGGTATGGTTTTACCATTATAATCTCTACCTTGTTGATGTACAAAACGATCAAAAATGTTCTGACTTTCAAGCTAGCAAAGCGCGGCGACGATGGCGTGGAGATCTTCTACAGCATGAGAACATTACTTTGCGACTTTGGAAAGGAATGAGAAGGAGCAACCTCTCTCCCGCTTCTGTGTTGCAGCCTCTGGTGTAAAGTCTCGGCGATTTGCTCCGCAAACTCTGGATCCCATCGCCGTATCAAGGATGGATCCGAGGCGTAACACATGTAGAGAGAAGTCACTGCACTCTCCACTACTACAAGTCCCAAGCCAACCTGGTTTTCAAAGAGAAAAAACGTTCTTTTCGGAGTGGTGAAAGTTTGTGCTTACCAAGATCATTCCAACCAGCATTGCCGTGAGGCCGATGATGAGAACTCGCTCCTTCCACTTGAACCAGGCCCAGATGCCGACGCAAGTTCCTGTCAGGAGTCCCCCGAGAAGGATCTCCATGAGCAGTATCGCACCAGAGAGATCGTACGCGATCAAAACCTCTATTCCCGTCGACTGGAAGAGTTCCCATGCATCCCGAGCGGAGTGATTGAACGACTTGCCGTAGATCGCTACCTGCGGTCAAGCTGCTCGTAAACAAAACTTTGAAACGGCGAGAAAACTACTTGCCTCCACATAAGCGTACTTGTTGAAAAACCGAACTAAAGTCTCCACCAGATGAAAGAGGAAATCCACGCAGCACAGCAAGCACTCGTTCTTCCCTATGCGTGATCGAAAGCCACGGATCTGCAAGCACAACGCAAAAGCTGTTTGAGAAGAAGAAAAAAATTATAAGAACACAATATTATAGCTTACCGCCCACCGCATCGTTCTTATAGCTGCAGTGAATAGGGAACCATAGCAAATGCTGCCAAGAGAAGTCGTCATGGCGTGTTGCAGTGATCTCAGGATAGGCTTGGGTGGCATAATCTGATCGTCGGCAAGCGCCAGTACTATCACTCCAGCCACAGTCACATGGACTGTGTTGCAAACCACAGCTCCAGTCCAAAACAGACTTACGGATAGAACCTGAAAGTTTACAACCAATGAGCGATGGCACACAAGGTTCCAAGCAAGTCTACCAGAATGAGAAGCCATCTGCTGTTGTCGTCCATGCCGGAAGCAATAACTCCTGACACTCCAAACGACCACAATGCCAGCCAAACGAGCAGCAGTGCGATGAACGGGTAGGAAATCCTCATAGCCGCAGGGACAGAGGTGATCAGCTTTACAGCCTTGCTCAAGACAAGCGTCGTAAATGGCAGCCTGAAAGAGCGAGAGCGAGCTCGTCACAGAATGCGGAGACGAAAAGGATTTTAAACGAGGAGCGTACCTGTCCATGACTGACATGGTGTAGACGAACTGCAGGAGAGCGCCAATGGCGAAGGCAGTGCCGAAAAAGAACTGGCCGTCGCGGAAGCAGAAGACGCTGATCACTGCGAGATAAGTTGTCAAGCTGTGGACGGCGACTTTGATCGTCGAGTATGGCCGGACGCAGAGAAGAGCCAAGGATGCCCACGCGAACACCGCACCGAGCGCAGAAGCCACGGCATACACCGGCCAGAACTTCTCTGTTTGAAAGCCAGGTTGAAGAATGCCATAGTCGTGATTTGTAAACCGGTTAAGCTTAAGCCTGTCCACCTTTCTAAACCTGTTGAGCCCCAGTATGACTAGCACAAAACCCAAGCCGATCATATGGACTATGAACAGTCCCAGCCAGAAGATATCTCTCCATTTCCTTGCGGGCTCGGGAATCCTTGCCAATGGTGGTGGAGTGTTGTTTCCTTCCTGGGCAACACTTTGTTCCTGGGGAAAAGAAAAAAACACATAGCATTGTACGTCAGAAAATATCAAAAGGAAAGTAGTACTCGAAAACAATAATTACTGCTCGCAAACAAAGCTTGGTCTTAACAAGACAAAAGAACTGACCTTAGCCAAACAAGCAGTACTATGAAGCTCAAGGAAGAACTTAAGAAGAAACAGAAAAAAACGAAGAAACGAAGCAAACGAACCAAGCAACTCCAAAGCTCAAGAGCACGGAGAAAATCAAAAGCTTACTTGAATTTGAGTGCTCGAGATGGTGTCAAACGTAGGCTGCTGCATTGGCTTGTCTTCTCTCTTCACTTCATCCAGTCAACGATTCTAAGCAAAAGCTCTCGTTTAGTTCTTAAAGAAAAAGAAAAAAGAAAACGAATTCCTAGTAATCCAGGAATTTTTTTGCAGCAGACAAAAGGAATTCTAGCAAAATCATCGCGATCGCGCTGGAAAGTAGTGCACAGCGCGAGCGATTAAGCTCGGATCGCGAAATGCCAGAGCTTGGAGTTCGAAAAAGAAGAAGAAAAAAAATCGAGCAAGGAATGGGTGGATCGAGAGCTGAGAAATACCTGAGGCCGCTCCTGGAAAGCGGTTGTGGCATCCATCACTGCTTAGGGTTTGAAACAAGAACCCGGTGAATCCACCGTGTCCTTAAGTCAAGGACACTGTCCTCCGAATTTAAATTCTTGTTCAAAGTTTATTTACAATTTCAAGTGATTAAATTAGCATTCATTATCTTAAGTCTAAATTATTAAAATTATTTATTGAATGATTTCCAAAAGATTTGACTAATATAAATAATCATTGGTTTATATGTTTTTTAAATATTAGTTCTAATAATTTTAGAAATATTAGTAATAATTTGAAGACCATATAATAATTGTAACACAACATATTTATTAAATTTATTAAACTAAAAATACATTATTAAAAGCGTATTTTACATTTATAAATATAAAAATGTAAACATATCTATATTTGTATATATATATTTTATATAGTTTGATTCAATAAATATTAGTATATATTTTAAATAATTGAATTCATTTTTATCCAAATTAAACTGTATAAGTATTGATTTAAATTAAAATCAATCTGATGGCTATCAAAATCCCACTATACACATTGTACTTGTACACTTGGACCTCACAAGATGATATATACTCACTACTATATATAAGTTAATGTTTTTAGGCCAATTGATATGCACATTTCTATAATTCATTTTTATATTTAATGCACTCACATTGGTGGAAGTAATTGTCTTTGAGGAGTGTTTGGATTTGGGATTTTGGTTTAACTTTAGCTTTTGCATTATTTAAATCTCAATTTCCTTATAGTTTTTTCAATTTCTTCTCTTTTATTTTTTCTTTTTTGTTCATTCTCATGGTAAAGTAATAGCATTCTTTGACTTTGAAGCAACAGTTGCTATAGTTGATTAATGTTATATGGTTGTAATTGAATAATCAAACTCAATTAATGGTGATATTTACAGCATATGGTATAGTTCCTCCTACTCTTATTGCTGATTAGAATTTTTTTGTGAGAATCTTAGGGATAATATACATCATTCACTTAGATGGCCCTTCACAAAAATGATGCAATTGCTAAAAGGTATCATCACAATCATTAACATATTCAAATGTGCATTTGAAAACATCTAGGAAAATGCTCCAATCCATATGAATGACTGCACTCAAACTATTATACCACTATAATGCCATCCTTTGGA